GAATAATTAAAATTTAAAATATATTAATTTAACTTGTAAACTTTTATTCTATTTAAGAATTGGCAAGCAAGGTCGTTAAGGAAAAAAAATTTTTTTTTCATTTATATATTAAGTTTTCTGAGTTAAGCCAGTGTTTTATTTATCGTGCGATATATACTATGTATAGTATATATATTTGTACTTTTTTTTAACGTTGAGAAATGCATTTACGCACAACGGCAAAGCCAGTACTACCCACTAAAACCCAACAAAACCTTCCCCCGTCTTAATGGGGCGTCGCAGGATCGCTTACGCATTCAACTACGACGCCCCGACGGCAGGTCTGCCGAAGCAGACCACAACAACCACGGGGTTGCTCCAAGGTCCACTCTGCTATCAGAGAAGTACCAGGAGCAACCCGCATGGTATGCCCTCCGAAGAGGGCCACCTCCCACCGCCCACCGAAGTGGGCCACCTCCCTGTGCGTTTCTTGGCTTCGCGCCCGGTTGGGTTGCCGGGCACTACTGAGCCCCCCCACCACGACAAGGTGAGCGCACGTTGGGGGGGGGATGTATATTAGTACCTGGGCAACCGGAAAAGATATAAAGATTGGGGTTTTTCAGAAAAAAAATACCTATATAGACAATCAAACCCAACCCAAGACAAAAAAATTATATATAAATATAATTTTATCGAATAATTAATGAATAATTTTTATGAATAATTTTTTAATATATTGATTAACCGTTCTCCTAGATACAAAAGCAAACTTTTTCAGGTCATCTATTGTTTTTTGTCTAACCTATCGATAAATCAATTGAAATTTCATACTCTCTTATAAAAGTCAAAATTTATGTTTACCTTTTTTGCGCTTGAATAAGCAGGATCACTTGAATTAAATACTAGTGCTGGCCGTAATTTACCTTTATAAAGCCTTTTTTTTACTTTTTATTGTTTAGTATACTATTATTCTGACATATTATTTGTGATAATTTCTGTTTTAAACCAATACATACGGATGAATACACATATGTGTTTTAATGGGACTAGCGACTCACCCTCGCTCCGCTCGGGTTCGTCCCTTAGTACGTTTTGTTGGTTAGTATAGATTTCTCGGAGATGAAATAGTTTCTCGCAGAAAAAAGTATTCTAAATGTTGACCCGAATAAACAGCTATCATCATACCCAATTCCATTAAAATCTGTGCAGTGGTTTTCTCGTGATGCGTTCCCAGACAGACAGAACGACAAAAATTTTAAAAAAGAAGATTCGATCTCTGAATCAATAATAATGACTAATTCGATAAGATTTTCCAAAAAAATATTTAATATACAGATTCCACTCAGTTACAATTTTATTATAAGTTGATTCTCCATACAAACTTTCATCCCCATTTTCACCCCTTAAGGGATGATTTCCGGGATGAAAAGTATCCTATGTCCTTTCCAGGGTCTCAAACTATCTTCTTACTTGATCGAACAGTTAAGAGAAAGCTTCTTGAGAAGCAGTGGCTGTGTTATCTAGAATAACTCGGTATTGTAGACTGATTGAGATGTTCAGTTCATCAGGTCTTTTTTTACGTTTTATCTAGTTACATAGGTATTGAAATATATATATAAATATGTTGGGACATGAACACACAGCACCAGCTAGTTCTATTGTATTCTATCTAGAACTGCCTTCCGAGCCGGTGGCACATTCCTCACGGACGTACATGCTGATAGTAGGGGAGCCCAAGAGGGGATTTTCTGTAGTTACTCGAGCGCGGCAGATTAACATAAAAGAGGTTACCTTGCACTCTATTGAGTACTTTCACCATAATATAAGTCTTCTATATAAAGGGGCGCGTCTAGGGAAGCCGATTAAAATATTTAAAAAATGTTTTGATAAGGTAAAAATACTTGAAACCGTCAGATTAAGGTGTGGTAGGCTAGTCACATCCTGAAAAGTGTCCAATTTAATAATCTGCCGATTTGCACAAGCCTAAGAGGCAAAAATCATCATAAACTTTATAGTCGATTTTTGCCTCTTCGGCTTGTGCTATGATATTTAATATAAAAAAATAAATGTAAAAAGTGACGATTAGAAGTGCTTGTAAAGTTTATTTGAATAAATTATATTATAATTTGTATACATATACATGTGTGTTGGACGTATTTGTGCATTTATATCCTATAGTATATTTATAGACTAGGTCTAGGTGATATATAAATGCTCTGGTCTATGTCCTAGACTAATACATAGGCTACTTTTTGGGACCTAGAAGCATCTGAGTAAATCGAGGGTATGACCCCTGGTAGTTTATATTTGAAATATAAAAATGAATGAATGGTAAATAAAGAAATTGGGATCTTTTTTATATTAGAAGCATTTTTTGGATGCATGTGCTGCCCTCTATCGGTCAGTTTGTTCAAAATAATGATAGATGGCGTAACAAACGACACTAAGTAGCAGGCAATAAATTGAAGCAGATTAGCATTTGTTTCATAGATGGTGCTGTATTTTAAAATCTATGCCTACATATAATAAAATTGTAACTAAGCCGAATCTGTACATTAAATATTTTTTTGGAAAATCTTATTGAAATATACATTATTATCGATACAGAGTCCTAATCTATAGTTTTTAGAATTTTTGTCTGTCTGTCTGTTACCGCATCACGAGAAAACCACTGGATAGATTTTGATGAAATTTGGTATGATGATAGCTGGTTATCCGGGTCAACATATAGGATATTTTTACCGCGGGAAAATATCTCATTTCTGCAAAAAAAAAAACAAAAACTGCAATGTAAGAGTATACTAATATGTAAAACCTAAGAATTTGGTTTTTGGTCATCTGAACGCGGGCGGAGCCGCGGGCAATGCTAGTAATTAAATAAATGATATTAGAATATGGGCTACCGCACTTGAATTCGCCGCGAGAGGCGCTAGTGTAGAGTAAGGTCTCTAGACATGTCAAATGACACTGAACGTTTTTACCGCGGATCTTCACTAATGTCTAATTATTCATGATCATAGTAAAGGTAGCGCCATTCCTCATTAATTATGGCAGACAGAGTACGGCTCAACAAATGTTATTGCTTTAAAGGAAGAACTAAGAAAACGTCCAATATTTTATCTATTATATATTAAGTATGTTATACAAAATCCTTAAAAACTGGTGCCGCGCTAACAATTATTATTATATTAAATTTTGGCTCTACCGCACTAACAAAATATACTGTAAAAAAATGAAACACTTTTCCTGATTTAATCGTTATATTGACAGTAATTAATAAAATTGATATACACAACAGAAAATCATACGTCCCGCCCAAACGTCAATCAATATCTTCGTCGTCATACTTTTCCTACCTGCCTGGCACCTGCGTAGACGAACACCACAGAGGTTGTATGAAGGCATACTTGATGTCTTCGAATAAACTAGCGGCGCGTAACAATACTTTTTAACGACAGCGCTAGTACCTTACTCGCAAGTGGCGCCAACTGGTACAACGATAGCCTCCATTCTACTTGGAACTCGTCACGAACAGTATAATAATTCAAATAAATATCAATAGATTGGAAAATAAGTTTGTGTAAAATTATCATAAGTTAAATTTAAAACATAAATCCCAAAGAGGGTTAAAAAAATATATTCTAATAGTCCCGCTAAGTTTCTAAACCAAAATTTATAGTGTAATTAAAATTTATTTTAAAATATATACGAAAATAACATTAAACTTTAATTAATAGTATAAATTTTTTTTTAAAAGACAAAAAAATCGAAAGTGCATCATATTACAAGACATAATCAGAGATATATATATAAGAGACATATCATAAGACATATTCCGCGATAAACAATAGCATTCCCAAGGAGGGTTGACGTCAGGCAGGCGGCCGGTCGTAAAACTTTTGCCAAATCCTTTCAGCAGTGCAGAGGATGTACTGCGCCGACCCCAAGTAATTGGGAAATGGGCAGGGAGAAGAAGAAGTCCCGCTAAGTTTCTCTCGCCAGTTCTTCTCAAGTCTGAGGCTTCTTCTTTCCGAACTGGTAGTAGACTCATGACGTTCAGTAAAAAATTGTAATAATTTAATGCTGAATAAAATATTTTGAATTTGAATACATTAAGAAGACAATAATAATGAATTAATCAGATATGTTTGTCTTTTCAAGTGTACATAACATTCGCTGTAATTACATAATGATAAAATGTATATAATTAATAAATACAATTAAATTTAATAAAAATGATTCTTAACTAGTCTACAACTGTCAGCTATACTAATTAATTTAAATTATGTAAAAAAAAATAATATAAGTCAAATTAAAAATTGATCTGTAATTGATTGATTGATTTGTTTTTATATATTTTTTTTTTCAATTATCGCAGTAATTTCCACCGAACGACTTATCATCTAACATAGCACAAGCTCTTACCCAAAGCTTTCAAAGGTCGAGGCCATGTTGTTAGATAGTCGTCAACTGTCATCAACAAATAGGCTTTAAAACAACGGTCTTTGCCTGCTTTTCTTTAACACTAAGACAATCAAATGAAATTTATACATATAATAAAATTCTGACTCAGTCGAATCTGTACATTAAATATTTTTTGGAAAATCTTATTGAAATAGACATTATTATCGATACAGAGACCGAAACTATAGTTTTTTGAATTTTTGTCTGTCTGTCTTACTGCCTGTGTGTCTGTCTATGACCGCATCACGGAAAATTCACTGGAAGGATTTTGATGAAATTTGATATGTCGATAGCCGATCCGGGACAATATATAGGACACTTTTTACTGCGGGAAAATATCTCTGGGAAATCTATATTTATAATATTAATAGGATTACACTCGCAATACACAAACAAATCTAACAACATATACGTAATTGGAACACATAGAGTGAGAGGTACATAAATACATCCATATCTACGTATTACGTATAATATAAAACACTATAAAAAAATGGTTCACAAATTATTTTATTAAAAAAATAATTACCTACGTAATAAAATAACTACTAACGCTAATATTTATTATTTATTTCCGAATATAAACTCGACGGAGCATCACTTAACCTATCATTATCTAAATTTTCATATTGTTTTCTATTTGGACTATTATAACCGACATTGCTGTATCCATTTTGGTAGTTTCTAGCGTATGTATAGTATTTATTATTGCTTATATTATCTTCTTTTATTGGTGTTTTGAGAGACCTAAACTTCTTTGGTATAGGCACAGAGTAAACTTCTCTGGTTTCAGTAAAGGGAATACTGTAAGTATCTGATTGATACACGTTGCAATGAATGGTGGGATCTTGAAATCCATTTCTATCTGTGGCATCTCTAGGGCTTGAATAAGTTGCATCAATTTTGGTAATAGATTCAGAACTTTGAGATTTTACCGAAGAATTTGCTGTACGTAGATGTCTTTTATCCTGAAACATAATAAACAGTTAAATATATAACAAAATTAATTTAAAAAATCTTACTATATTCCGAGAGCTGGCGATGAATTTTGGGAAAGTCCTTTTGGCAAGTTGAAATTGTGAAAAACGAATTTACCGGTTTTAAACCATTCCCAGACTTAAATAAAGTTTACAAATGAGTATTACAAAAAAGTCTTATGCGTAGCCATAGGTGCGAGAAAGATAGCTTATCGAGGTATGCCAGCAGCTGATGGGCGCCAAAGGTCCTCGCGCTGAGATTGCCGAAAGGACCTTCCCAAAATTTGTCACGAGCTCTCGGGCTACTACTATATAAATGCGAAAGTTTGGTTGGATGGATGTTTATTACTCAATCACGCCAGAACGGCTGTACGGATCTGGATGAAATTTGGCACAGAGATAGATTATAGTCTGGGATAGCACATAGGCTACTTTTTATCCCGGAATAATGCACGGTTCCTATGGAATACATATGTTATTTTTTTCACTAGGGACGAATCCGAGCGAAGCGAGGATAAGCAACTAGTATATAACAAAACTGGGAAGTGATGTTATTAATAAAACACACCACTATTATAACTGTTTGGCCATAATCGGGAATTTTAGTTCAAACATACATATTACATAATATTAACCACTAAATCTAAGATAAATTTCATTTGCACTGTCAAAATAATGTCCTTCTAACTGAATTTGAACTGCGCGGGGCTTATTTCAGTACCCAAATACGTGCAGATATCTATCAGATTCACTCTTTCCATTTATTTCGCTTGCTTTGCCAAGAATATAAACTTTCATCCCCATTTTCACCCCCTTAGGGGATGATTATCGGGTTAAAAAGTATTTTATGTCCTTCCCAGGGTCTCAGACTATCTTCTTACCAAATTTCATCTAAATCGGTTCAGTAGATCAAGAGATTACCCCCTACAACGTCACAAACTCACAATCTCACAAACTTTACCTCTTTATAATATTTGTATAGATATTCTACAGTGATGACAATTCGACACTTGCGCTGTGAGATAAGTCAGAAAACCGATGGCTTTACGTGTTCTGCCTCAGCATGAAGGTGACACACCGCCAACTTCCCAACTCCGGGCTGTTACTGGGTATTCCGTAACAGAAACCCCAGTTACTATTTAGGCTAGACCTGGTAGAATCCAATCTGGGAGAAAATATAAGGAAACTATATACATACCTCTGATACTTTGTTTTTCCTTGATTGTTTTATTATTATACAAATCAATATAATAATTATAATAATCGTAACAATAGCACATGACGCAAATATGAGACTGTATCCCCCCAATTGAGTTGGAACACGATCCGTTGGTTCTGTAATAAAATTATTTGGTAAACAGTCTTAAAAGGGTTCGAAGTTCCGAGGTTATTCTATAGAAATTGGCATTGGCACCCGTGGCCATTTTAATTTGTTTAGAAAATGGCAGCGTTCGATGAAACAGATTTGTATGGAAAGAGAACACTTAAACAAAAAATATCTGCAACATGGTATTCTAGGCGTTACGTTTCCAAGATATTTTAAGATCTGACTTCTGATGAGATATACATATATAATTATGGACTATGAAGTCAATATTATATTTGAATTAAACTAAAGTTTAAATTATAATATTTGACACACGTAATTAGAATACTATATTTTTAATGAGTGTCGGAAACGTGACGTTTTTGGGCACCATATTAAACTTTTTTTTATTTGTGTACATGTCTTTTTTTATACTAGTTTCAGTTGATTGAGACAAAAAATTGCGGGATGTTGGCAATGTAACAATGATTTTATCCCCTTTTTATATCTGTAATCTATACATATAATAAAATTCTGACTGAGTTAAATATGTATGTTAAATTTTATAGTTAATAGTATTGATAGAGGGGCCGAATTTATAACTTTTAGAATTTTTGTCTGTCTGTCTGGGAACGCAGTTATCCGGGAAAACATTTAAGATACTTTTTACTGCGGGAAAATATCACATCCCTGAGAAATCTGTACTAAACGTTAAATAGTAACTAGGGACGAACCAGAATGGAGCGAGAGTGTGTCGCTAGTTGGTATATATGTAATTTGCACTAAAGCGTAAGGTGCGTTTTAACAGGCTTCTCCTGGACAAACTCGCTAGATCGTAGACCTTATCTGTGCCTTCGAGCTAAGATGAAGGTCAAGAGTGAGCCCATTTCTAATAAAAAAAGCGTCTTTACCTGGTGCCGAGGCCATAGCTTGAACTGTTGTAGGTCTTTCAGTATTAGCCATATATTTTTCATAAAACAATATGATTGATTTATTTTCGTGATACGGTGCGAAGTCATCCAGTCCATTAGCTAGTCCATTTTGATCAACGTCTTCGTCTAATGTACATGTAATAAGTGACCCATTATCCACATCATGCAAAAGAAAGTTTTGTTTCACTTCATCTTCAAAACGATTTGTTCTTGTTAGATTTTGGCCACCTGAAAGTTTTATTAATTATTAAAACTAAATATAAAACATTTATTACTATAAAAAACAGTCAAAACTAAAAAGTAACACAAATTAGCAAAACTCAGTCTATCTTATAGGAATGGTTAATAATTCAGCTGGTGCTGCTAAGATCGAAATCTCCAATATTTTCTTTACATGATGGACTATCGAGATTAGGACTATGGAGGTTTATTTTGACGTAGTAGTGATAGCATCTAACTATTATCATTATTATAGTAATACTACTCTTTAAAATTAAACTGGATAATGTTTGACAGATTTCAAAAAAAAGAGAAGATACCTACTTAAATGTATGTTTGTTTTTGTGTTAAGTTAGACGACTGCATGGATTAGTAGACTATGCTATATAATATTATTATAAATATAAAGTGTTAGTTAAGTACTAACTCCGATGAATCACGTACTTTTATACCATGTTAAGTGAAATTTGCTGTGACTGCTTTTGTGTGTGTGTTTCGGTGTCTTGAGGCACGTTAGTTCAATTTTATCGCCATGTTGAAATTTGTATGATATAATAGTTCCGTTATCAAATATTATATTTTCCGTTTTAAGACCTTTTATTGTTAACACTGAAAATTTACAAAGAGACACTTTAATAATTTTTTATTGAAAGCATTGGTCAGTTACGCAGAAGACAGTTCGTAGCATGAGATCACACACACACACACACGTACGCACGCACGCACACATATACATAAGATCTATAGGAAAAATTACTTACTTTTATAGGAAACCACGATCTTGTTATCTGGGAAAACAATAGAAGAACATCTTCTTTAAAGAATGATCATTCAATTTTATCCTTATCAGTACTAATATTATAAAGGTAAATAGATGAAAACTGCACGTCTGAGAGAATCTAACCAGGTTTCTAAAGACATGTGAAGTCCGCCAACCCAGACTTGGCCAACGAGGTGGACTATAAACCTGATCCCCTCGAACTGATGGGAGGCCCGCACCCAGCATTGGGACGTTAAAAAAGCTAATTACATTGAACCAGCCAATCTCTAAAACTACCAGTACGATATAAAAAAATCCTTTGAAACCATAACTCTACGATAAATGTTAATAATGAAGCAATATTATACGAAGAGTAGGTACCTACTTTGTAATTTGTATGATATTATACAACTTATAGATCGCAATACGTAAATATATGAGAGCGGACCCACAAACAAAAGCTAGTTAATATAAATAACAAAATTAGTTTATATGTTTGTTAACACTTAGCGTCTAAACCTATCTATCTTACGACTATAATTTATAAAGCACAAGTCACATCATCTCAGTGTTCTAGATAATTCATGTAATCGTATCGTGGTTATCTATACATATAATAAAATTGTAATTAAGTTGAATCTGTACATTAAATATTTTTTGGAAAATCTAATTGAAATAAACGTTATTATCGATACAGAGTCCGAATCTATAGTTTTTAGAATTTTTGTCTGTCTGTTACCGCATCACAGAAAAACCACTGGATAGATTTTGATGAAATTTGGTATGGTGATAGCTGATTATCCGGATCAACATATAGGATACTTTTTACCCCGAGAAAATATCTTATTTCTGAGAAAAATTACAAAAACTGCATTGTAAGAGTATACTAATATGTAAAACCTAAGAATTTGGTTTTTAGTTATCTGAACGCGGGCGGAGCTGCGGGCTAGTTATTGATAAATTCTTACATCAATCGACCCACTTTTTATAATATTCTTCACGCACTGATAACAATATACAGAAGTTAATATGTTAATGTTAATACAAGTTTAGCAAAAGTGGACTTATCTCTAAAGAAACATCTTCCAACCTATCTATGGATGTGGAAGAAAATTTTAGAACTTACATAAACAGATGAACCAAAATAATAAAAAAACGGCACTTTTCATTTTTCTTAATTTTTTAAACGAATATTATACTAATGTCATTATTTTACTGCAAATAATATTTTACTAACTTGTATTTCAACTGAACAATTCCTATAGAAGTCCAATAAACTTCCTCTTATAACGAATGGGATAATGGTCTTTAATTATATTGTAATAATGACGTAAGTTCCCTAGCATGTACGAACAAGGATAACGCTGTATATGGCAGCGGTTTGATCACGAATTGAGTCATGAAATTGATTAACAATTTAATATTTCATATGTAAATGTATTTTACATTCTACAAAAATGCAACTGGGCTTAAAATTTTGAAAACTTAATATTATTTTCGATTGACATCCTGTTTAGGTTTCAATTAATTTATTTGTTATTTTAGGTGATACACAAAAATTGCTTAACAATTTTTTTTTAGTAAGTCCAGACACAAAAAAAAATAAAAATTAAAAAAAAACTTGGGATTTTAACTTCCAGGCACTAAAATGTAAAAAAAAACTAAACAGAGGTTTTCATTTAAAATAATTAAATTTTAAAAAAATAATCGAAAATATCTAATTAGGTTACTAAGTAGGTAGATATTTTCAAAGTCGGTGTCAGCCGATTCAAAGCCAATCTAATTATATTTCGTTCGATACGTAAAATACATACCTATTAGAAATTCGTGTCTTCAAATATTGTCGGCTGGCACCGACTTCGAAAATATCTGATTAGGTATTTATTTCTAAATGAAAACCTCCGTTTAGTTATTTTTTACATTTTAGTGCCTGGAAGTCGGTTTTTTTTAAGTATATATTTTTCCATTTTTAGTGTAGACGTAATAAGCAGGTAACTTGTAAGAAGAAAGTTTCATACTAACATATTCGATTAAACAATTTATTTAAAAAAAATATTTATTGTTGATTTTTTTTTAAAACCGCTCGACCGATTTCGATAAAATTTATATGGGTCTACCTAGTAAGTTTGAAACAAAAAAAAAATCCAAATAACGTCGCGGCGTCGGCGAAAAAAAAATCCGACGAATTAAGAACCTCCTCTTTTTTTTGAGCACACCAAACACAAATAAAAACAAGATTGATATTGATAAAGTAATTTACTTTTTTAGAGCTTTTTTGTGTAAGGTGGTTATTTAAAATTTTAATTTTATTTTTATTTCATACTTTTTAAATTATTCGCAGACACTAATTCTAATAGAAAACTCTCATCGAGACTATTCTCATGAGTCCAAACACGCTATAGACATACAAACACACAAACACATCAAACTTATAACACCCCTCATTTTGCGTCGGGGGTTAAAAAACACTATTCTCTCACATTTTTTCGAATATATTACGAAACAAAATATTACCATTTTGTATTAAAATTAGCAAAATCGGCCCAGCCGTTCTCAAGTAGTGCTCTTTCTAAAGAACAGCATTTCATTTTTATTTATATACTAGCATTGCCCGCGGCTCCGCCCGCGTTTAGATGACCAAAAACCAAATTCTTTAGTTTTACATATTAGTATACACTTACATTGCAGTTTTTGTATTTTTTCTCGGAAATGAGATATTTTCCCGCGGTAAAAAGTATCCTATATGTTGACCCGGATAACCAGCTATCACCATACTAAATTTCATCAATAGCCCTCCAGGGGTTTTTCTGTGATGCGGTAACAGACAGACAGACAGACAGACAGACAGACAGACATGAAAATTCTAAAAACTATAGATTCGGCTTCTGTATCGATAATAATGACTATTTTAATAAGATTTTCCAAAGAGTATTTAATGTACAGATTCGGCTTAGTTACAATTTTATTATATGTATAAATATATAGTCTATTTGGAATCCGGTTTGGGAACAAAATATTGAAAACCTGAAGTTTTATTTTAAAATGTTAGCTAAGGAATAGAAATTTGTAAAATGCCGCCGATGTCCAACTACCCCCGAGAAATGCGTTGAAAAATAGTTTTTTTCAATTTCCGGCTTATTGTGACGTTCTATCGAAAAATATTTTCTACAAAAGTTGTAGGTCTAGTAAAAATCTAAAACTTTTACAAATAACACTTTTTACAATAACCTCAAAGTTTTCGAGATATTTGCAGAAAACTCAGTTTTTAACTTATTCTTGGTTTTTTATTTTTTATTTATAGAATAATCTTCTGATTTTCATGAAACTAAGGGAATGTAATTTGCGAATAAACAAAAAAAATTGAAATTTAAATGTTTAGCCATTTCCGAGAAAATTATGTTTTATGATCTCGAGAGGCTGAAAATCACCCCAAACTCCAAGTGGACGTTTACATTTAAAAAAAAAATCGTTCAATTTTCAAATTGAGCTCATTCTTTTCGTCTTGAACTCTACTTTTTGAAAAAAATAAAAACACTGTACAGTACCTATAAAAACACCCTTAAAAATTTTAAAATTGGAGAAATTGATAATTTTTACTTTGTAAACTACATTTTTTTCAATTATCATTGAACAATGCACTGACATCAAAGTGCCCAGTTCTACAAAACCCAAATTTCATACGTAAGGACCTAGTAAGCTATTGATTTTGATTTGATGAAAGAAACACTTACTTGGTCTTAAAACGAATCTTAGCCGAATAAAAGGAGGTTTGCATGTTGATAGTTGATTACAGGAAGACGTGTCCTGGCAGTCTATATACCATCCACTGATATCTTTTGTTAATTTTATGACAGCAAAGTGACCACCTTTCGTAAGTCTATTGTCTTTTACGTAACCTGAAATAATAAAATTTTAATTATTAATAACTAAAATGTCTCCAATCTATGTGACATTGGCGAACTCCTGTGCTCAACTGGCATGCTTTAATGCATTTTTAACCCCCGACGCAGAAAGAGGGGTGCTATAAGTTTGACGTCGATGTATGTCTGTGTGTGTCTGTCTGTGGCATCGTAGCTCTCAAACGGATTGACCGATTTCGATGCGGTTTTTTCATTCGAAAGCCAGTTCCCTTGTGGTGGTTCTTAGCTATGTTTGGTTAATACCGGTCAAGTAGTGTAAGAGTATCAGCTCTTTTCCATAATGATGTAAAACATTTTGGAGTATGATTACTCGATTAAGTGCTTCACGCGTGCCAGTGTACTCGTTAAATGACAATTACTTTGCGTAGGGGGTTTTTTAAATTTTTAATCTATACATATAATAAAATTGTAACTAAGCCGAATCTGTACATTAAATATTTTTTTTGGAAAGTCTTATTGGCTTAGTTACAATTATATTATATGTATAGATTAATATTTTAAACTCACTAATCCTGTCTCAAATAGCAAAAACATAGCATGTATATATATATATATATATATATATATATATATATATACTAGCGATAGCCTCCGAAAGTGTGGCGCTTTAGAAAAAAAAATCATCCTCCACTGAACCCTTTTGAGGAATGATTTTTAAAAAAAACTGAAACATTATTTCTTACCTACATCAACAATATTATGAATTTTTATATCTCTAACTTAAGAAATGATATGTTCCCTATACAAAAAAAATCCTCTATTTCATTCCCTTCAAATTTTATTTTTACGATAAAAAATAGAGTCCAATCTATTTCTATTCAGTATTAATCAAAATTGGTTCTGCAATTTAAGCGTAAAAACGTAACAAACAAACAAACAAACAAACATTCACATTTCGCATTTCATTAACATGGATATGTACCACATCTTACTAACATTCTAGACAACGTTAAGTTTTAAACAACCAAGAAAGTTAATATCAAAAAAAAATCTTACCGTAATCATCTGAAATAAAATTATAAAAATTCCATATCGCGATTTGCAAGGTTTCAAAAGTATTATGTACACACTCTGCTTGAATAACATCATTGTTGTTATACAAATACGTCACATCCGTCTGGTTCGGACCCACCGCTTTAACACTTTCATTGATCTTTATGGAGACATTTGCTGAAATGTTTAGCGTAATGTTAAAAGACTTAAAATAATAATACTTTCTTAGATTTACGCGAATATTTGACATTTTTAAATAAAACTATCTTTTCAGATTTTTCTGCGGATTTATTTGGATTTTTGGTTCCCGACGTTTCGAATGCTTTACAGCAATCATGGTCCCGAAAGAAACTGTCCCGAAAAAATCCAAAATAATTGTTTTATTTAAAAATGATTTAAAATTAAATAAATAATTAAAAAACTATTTTTTGCCAAAAAAAAAGTAAAAAAGTTAACAGAATCAGTAAGTAGTAGAATCAGTAGTCAGCTTAAAGTAACTTATGGCAAAGGGTAATAACTCAGCTAATGCTTCTAACACCGAAATCTCAAGCAACGCTGATTTTCAGTTACACCCAAACATATGATGTTTTCAAAAACTTATAGTTTTTCAAACTTAATGGTGTAATTCGCTATTAAAATACGGTCACCAAAGCTAATGAAAGTTTATTGTTGCCATATATTTTATTATATTGCGCCTGCGCATGTCAAATACGTATAAGTGCAACATCAAATGTGGTTTAATACAGCCTATCATACTTTGATATGGTTGAAAATTGCAAAAATTTTCAACCAAATCAAATCAGGATATTTAGAAATGAGGATATTTTTTCTGTAAATAAAGGTTTCTATGGAATGAAATAAAGCTGTATGTACATCGAGATTCATCTAGCATAGATTTGGGTATTTATATATTACTAACATTGTCCGCGGCTTCGCCCGCGTTCATATGACCAAAAACTAAATTATTAGGTTTTACATATTAGTATATTCTTACATTGCAGTTTTTATATTTTTTCTCAGAAATGAGATATTTTTCCAGAGTAAAAAGTATCCTATATGTTGACCCGGATAACCAGCTATCATCATACCAAATTTCATCAAAATCCCTCCAGTGGTTTTTCTGTGATACGGTAACAGACAGACATACAGACAAAAATTCAAAAAACTATAGATTCGGACTCTGTATCGATAATAATGTTTATTGCAATAAGATTTTCCAAAAAATATTTAATGTACAGATTCGGCTTACTTACAATTTTATTATATGTATAGATAGATGATGACGATACGTACAACTTTATATGAATTCACTTTAACATGTAGCTTTGATTGTAGAAGTGATTATATACTATACTTCAAATGTACTATATAAAGCACCCCTGTGCTCACTCAGATGACAAATAAAAATAAAGCGGTAGCAAAATTCCTTCTTTTAGTACTACATGGGCTTCTTTCCGATGAGATAGGAAGTCATAATCTACTGCCTAACGTGTGTTGGCGGACTTCACACGATATTTGAAAACTCACGATGGTTTCCATCACCGTAAAGCGAGTGGTAATGTGTCGGAGATGATTCTCATATAAAAATGATTATGAGATGAAAATATTGAAGGTGCAACGCTTGGAGTGAACCCTTTTCATACCATATTTACATTTATCATTCATATTACTTTATAGTACCTTTTTCTCCTGTATTCGACAACCGATTTTCTTTTTTTTTGATTAGTAGCTTTCGACGAGCTTTAGTGTAATCAATGAGAAAAAGTTTTGTTTTATATTTATTCACATATTTATTTATTTATGTACAAAATATATGTATATATAAAAAAGAAAACAGATACCATGTGCACAAAGGATGACTTATCTCTTTAAGAGATCTCTACCAGAAACTCTCGAGTGTGAGAAAAAATAATAATAATATATATATATATATATATATATATATATATATATATATATATATATATATATCTTTCCTACACTTTGTATAATTTTATTCTGGAAAGATATAGTATAATATCTGCAAGATGTTAATAGTGAATAAATTATTTATTAAATTTACACTCACGTAGTCCTTTGTGAAAAGATAAAACCAATTTTGTCACTTTCTGGTCATTGCGTTTCGATTTGCATATTAAGGAAGACCCGAGATGAGGTGTCAGATCCAAGCTAATTTTCTTGCAATGTTGATAATCCGCACATTGGTCTAAAATAATATTTACACATAATTAATATTAGCGACTCACCCTCGACTCGCTTGGGTTCGTAGTTCGTACCTAGGTACGTTTTAATCCCTCCACGACCGCGGACACGCCGGCGTGACAGTTAACAATAGATTTCTTAGAATTTTAATCAATATCTTGGAAATTTACCTGGAGGTGTTAACGGTTGATATGGTATACATAGATTTAGAGGTTTATGTAAGTAACACGAGTTGGTTCGCAAAAAATATTAGTTAAGCTATATGATTTAAATAAATTTAGAATACGTTTACTGAGAAGTGTTATTGTTTTACCCCGTTAAGAGATGATTTACGGGATAAAAACTATCCTATGTCCACTGTAGTAGTGTAAGTAAGTGTTAAGGTATGACGTATATATTATGCAGTATATAATCAAGTCTTGCTTCAAACTTCGTTCGTTTCACTTATCCCACTACTCTCACCGTACCGTACATGGCGACCCTGTCAAAGGAATTCGCTCGGTAACGCGATGCGCTTCCCATATTTGGAGTGGAACTTTTGTGTGGCTAACTTGTACCTAAATAATAATGGAGTTAAATTATTTTTATTCGCGCCAGCAACTACTCGTATACGTCTTGCAATTGCACAGATCAGTTCTAAATCAATTCAGAGTACTTAGTCTATAGATAACTCTAGGTCATATTCGATCTGTTCACTAAATATCCAAATCAAGTAGTTCTAGTGTGGAGTAACAGGTACACATACGCATATATTTACATACATATTAAGGGTGGCCCAAAAAATCAAATATTTTTTCTTTTCGAGTTTTTTTACGAAAATATGTTAGTTTATCATGTTTTAAGATCCCCCTTCAAAGCGCAGTTCAAAAAATATTTTTTAAGATGTCATTCAAAGTTTTTAAAAATTTCCAAAATCGTTGAAAATCGATTTTTTTCTTTTTTCTTTTTTTTTCTCTTTATTTCACTATTTTTATTTTTTCTACTACTACTCGAAAAAAAATGTTTTTTGGGCCACCTAATACATATAGTATGTATAACAGTGGACTGATATATAGGTAGCGCTATCTTTTTGCCAAATATTATTACTAACAGTAGGTACAGGTGTTACTGCCGATCATATTTCATCTCTGACTACAATACCTACTACACCAAATTTCATACACACACACTCACACACACACACACACTCACACACACACACACACACACACACACACACACACACACACACACGCACACACGCACACACGCACACACGCACACACGCACACACGCACACACGCGCACACACACACACACACACACACACACACACAACACGCACAACACGCAAAACAAAACATTTGAAGTGCATTTTCAACAATTATTTACTTACGCTTAGTTTCAAGTTCCACATCTTCATATTTACCATTAGGTTTTCTATAATAGAACGAAAGATTCTTTAACTCGTTTCTAGCTTCACATGTAATATTCATCGTTTCATTCTCGAAAATAGTATAATTTTTTTGTAATATTTTATAAGAATTGTCATCAAACTTTTCAACCCAGTTCGTGAGTTTCTGACCATTCACGGTCAAAACCAGATCTTCTGAAACATAACTTATAGTAAACTCATGACTTACAAAAAGTCTCCTTTTTATAATTTTCAAAATTAAAATGAACACAAATTTAAAATTATAAGGTACTTTGAAACCATTTTTGAATGTTTTTAATTCATCTTGTAAAATTGTAGGTATACTGTCTGTAACTACTATATAATGTTTTTGAAACATCTTAAACCCTAGTCCCTCCCGTGACCATGATTGCTGTAAAGCATTCGAAACGTCGGGAACCAAAAGTCAAAATAAATGCGAGAAAAAATCCGAAAAAAAAAGTTTTATTTAAAAAGATATTAGTATATTTTTTTGTGAAATTGTTAATGCCAGCTTCTTTCACAGTCTTCATCCTTTGGTTTGGAATATAGTTTTGTGCTCTATAAGTTCTAATGAGAGTGGTCACTGTCACGGAATTTTCATTTTGCTAGCTTTGATATTATATCAACAATGAAAATGTTTTATTACATACCGTTTGTATCTTTGAAGGTAGTCCCTGAAATTTCAATTTGTCTCTATTACTTTTTAGATTATTTTCAAATATACTAGATCATTATAACAGTATTTAAAACGTGTTATTATATAAAATACTAAAGATTTACCCTATTTTTCCAGGATAAAAAACAGACAGACAGATAAAAATTCTAAAAACTATAGATTCGGCCTCTGTATCGATAATAATGACTATGTCAATAAGATTTTTCAAAAAATACTTAATGTAAAGATTCGACTCAGAACTTTATTATATGTATACATAATGAATGAATGAATTACTCTTTATTGTACACCAAAAGAGAAAAGGAAAATATACAATATAATATAGAAGGTACAAGAGGCGGCCTTATCGCTGAAAGAGCGATTTCTTCCAGGCCGTTTAGGTGTAGGAAATACCAAGGCAGTTAAAGTGTAGGAAATAGTACTAAGATAGAAGGGGGCGCGAATAACAAATAAAGAGACAGTAGAAAGATTATATATTTAACATATACATATTATACAAATATATAATATAATATACAAAATAAATACAAGTAAGATATAACTAACCAATACCTAAATACTATAACTACATACATAAATACTACACCCATATTATACATATATAAATATAAAATATATGTATGTACTTTAAAGGTTTTTAGGTTAAATGGATTTAGTTTAATAGAAAAAAACTAAACAAAGAACTCACCTAAGCAATTTATGGATAAAGCACACATATAGCAAATTAGTTTTAACATTTTAACTTCCAAACAGACACTACAACAATGTCTTGCTGTAATGAATAATCAATAACATATAATATTTTTCCCGTTCGTACTATATGACATACTCGTGAGTATTGTTTCTCTAATATAATATGATAGATATAATTTTTATGCTGTTAGTGGTTTTTGTATGTAATACTAGCGACTTGCCCTTGCTTCGGGTGAGTTCCTTAAGAGTTACATGTTAACGCGGACTTCTGCGTGAAAATGAAAATTTGAACTTTGCCTAATTTTTTAAGGATTTTCGATTTTTACGCTGGAGCCTAAATATGTCTAAAACAAAATATATGTTATATGTAGGCCTATAAACTTCTCTATCTTTCAGTGAAAGTCCCATTATAATCGGTTTAGCCGTTCCAAAGATTACCCTGGACAAACAGAAATACAGACAAACAAAAAATTTTAGAGTTGTGTAGTAGATACATACTATTATCATATAAATAAGTCGTTATTTTATAATCACAGACAGATACTTTATTTTTATTTTTATATATAAATATACATGGTGGATTTTTGAGACGGTACAGTAAGGGCAGGTACCTTAACTGCTATAGTTACAGGAAAAGGTTCCTAGGAGACTATCCATAACTTTTGAGATATTCTGAACTGCATTCACAGATTATTTACAATAGCCAGTTGACAATATTTTAAGATATTGAAGCAGAAGGGTGATGTATTAAAAAAAGACAAGTACTTGAACTGATTATATTTGAACAAACGGACAGAGTTTCGGCTTATCAACTTAACAATGTTGTCAAAACTTGTCAAAATGAGCTTGCGGGGCATTATATAGCTTTACCCCCACCGGAGGCATCCGGTAGCTGTAGTGGTGGCTTGGCATGGCTGGTTTGATTGGCTCGCTATGATAGGCTGTGGCAGTGTAGCGTAACATTCGGCCATCCTGAAACAGTAATTGCTCCCGCAATGGGAGATATATTCAAGTTGTTCATCGGAACTGCTAGCGCTGTCAGATATAGGAACCGTACTATGATAAGGTCTTAAAGAGTCCGCTGCAGCTAGGCCTGTATAAGCTTTATAACCTCGGACTCCCTTTATACTACGGATCCTATATCTGTCATTGCCCACCACCTTGGTTACAATATATGGACCTGAGAAAATATCATCAAGTTTAGAGTTTACTTTTGTTGTGCTGTTTGTGGGTGCCTGTCGCCAAAGAACTAAATCCCCCTTACGATATATACGACTAGCTTTGCGTTTTTTGTCAAAATTACGTTTCATCCTATCGCTTGCTATCCCTAAATGAGAACTAGCTTTGTTACGCCTAACCTCTACTGGCTCACTAATGATTTCATCAGTAACTACATCGCATCGCGGTCTAGCGCTTTTGGCAAACATCAAATCATATGGCTTATAAGTTGTACTTTCATTTGCAGTATTGTTAATACCCCACAGAACGTCAGGGAGACAATTCGCCCAATTATTCGCAGCCTCGCTAGGGTCTGTGGTACGTAAAGCTTTCAGAATGGTACGATTAGTGCGTTCAACTTGCCCCTTGGCTCTAGGGCATGCAACCGAGGTCAATATATGCTTAAACTGTTTATCAGCCGAAATTTTTTTTAAATATCTACTGGTAAAGGCCTTTCCATGGTCATTTACTAGTTTATCAGGATATCCGGATAAGCTGAATATATTTTTTAGTGTTCTAATAGTTTCTACAGAATTTACAGTTCGAGTGGGCACCGCAATAACAAATTTTGAAAAAGCATCCGTTATTACTAGCATGTACTGATAGCCTTTAGCAGTCCTACAAAAGGGACCTAAGTGGTCAACGTGAACCATGATCATGGGCTGTGTGGGTTTGGGAATAGGAAACAATTTTCCTTCTTTTCTTCCATGATCTCCCTTGCCATAAGCACAATGGAGACATGCAGTAACATACTCTTTAATGAAGCGAGTCATTTTTGGAAACCAGTAGTCTTTTTTTATCAACTCAATGCACTTTTGGAAACCCACATGCCCAATATCATCATGGTGCATTTGGACCAACTTCCATCGAGCTAATGCTGGCACTACGAGACGATTGCCATACAACGTTTTTCGATATAATCTATTATCTAAGAAAACATAATCGTTAGTAATTTCAGTTGCAGCTGTGCCATCCCTAAGCTGGTCAATGTTTCGTTTCAATTTATCGTCCTGGTACTGGACTGTATAAAACCAGTCTGATACTTCAAGGCGATTGATATTCACAGTATCGACTGGGTTTCTACTTAATGCGTCTACATGTTTCATTCTCTCCCCAGGTCTATACTCTACACTCATATCAAAATCTTGGATCGACAGCCACCATCGAGCTATACGTGGGATTATGTCACGTTTAGTTAAGGTGGCACGAACAGCCGTACAATCAGTCTCGACTTTCACATGTTTTCCTACAATATACGCCCTAAATCTACGTAATGATTCGACTACGGCGAGCGTTTCGAGTTCGTAACTGTGATACATACTTTCTTCTTTACTTGTCACCCTACTGAAATACATGACAGGTCGTAAGGAATTATCAATTTGATTCTGTAATAAAATACCTGCAATACCTAATTTACACGCATCCGTATGAATCTCCGTTGGCAACATAGGATCGTACAAAGCAAGTATAGGTTTTGTACACAAACACTGTTTTAATTGTTCAAAACTATTATATTGTTCATTGCCCCAATTCCATAATGCATTTTTCTTTGTTAAATCCGTTAAAGGGCGAGCAATTATTGCGAAATTTTTAATAAATTTACGGAAGTAACATGAACGTAACTAGGGGTAGGGAACTGTGACACTGCTGCCAACTTTGATTCACCAGGTTGAATGCCATTCGATGAAATTTCATGCCCTAAATATGAAATTTTATTTTGTAAAACCGAACACTTGCTCATATTTAGTTTTAAATTTTCTGATCTTAATTTATTAAGAACTTTCTTTAAAATATTTAATCCTGATTGTACGTCAAATGATGGCAACAATAAATCGTCTAAAAATGCTAGTACTTCATAATCGTTACAAAAGTTATTGCGAAATATCGATCTACCGTCTTTTGAACTGTCATTGGCATTTCGTATTGAATCTACGATCTTATTCATAAGTCGCATAAACACTGAATGTGCATTAGCTAGGCCAAATGGAACACGTGTATATTCGTATTGACCCTGTTGTGTTATAAAAGCTGTTTTATATGTATCTTTAGGATCGATTTTAACTTGATGGTAACTTTGAGCTAAATCAAGACTTGTGAAGAAATTTTTAACAGCTAATTTTGAGACCTGGTCCTCGATGTTTGGCAATGGATACCTATATTTGACTGTTATAGCGTTAAGTGCTCGATAGTCAACACAGAGTCTTCGATCACCGTTTTTTTTCTTTACAAGAATAACTGGGGAAGCAAAACATGACTCAGACTCTCGAATTATACCTGCATCTAATAATTCGGAAACTTTAGACCTAACTATCTCCTGTTCACTACGTGATAAGCGATAAGGTTGGCGGTAAATAGGTTGTTCACTTGTTAATGTAATTTTCATTTGTAATAAATCTGAACTAGTTAATAAAGTAATTAAACTATCGTGATCTTTCTTATTTATTGGACCTGACTTTATATCATCTATGTTAACTCCCCCAATAGCTTTAATATTGGCTAGACTAGTATGCAACACAGATGCTATAGGATGGCTATCACAATTGGCTTTGGCTATAAATGACGATGGCAAAGTGTAATTTTGTAGACTAACCTGAGCGTCCGATGGCGGTGTCGTAATGCAGCTGTCGGCTCTGGTAAGCACTTCGCCTTGTTTCCGGATGATGTTTTGCTTACCATTGTTAATGATCTTCATGTACCCGACGGTGCCTTGTAGCAGTGTGGCAGGAATTGAGTAGGATACACCTTGCAGCTCATAATGTTGTGGAGTTGTGACGACATCGTTACCTTCATCATTATCCAGCACGTTGACTTTAATTATAGAAAGCCCAGGTAATAGACACTCTTTTCCTGTAGTGACGACCTTGAAACGAGTGCGTTCCTCAATTATATCCATGTCTCTTGTGAAATCTACATCTTGCTTGAGGGTGGCTTTGCCTTCGCTTACCACTAAGGTCATTCCGTTGCTGTTGATTACAGGTTGTCCAACTAATAGATTGATGTTCCCCATATCCACGTCCGTTAAATGAGCCTTGCTAGGAATAAAAATGCCGTCGATTTCTAATTCAAAAGCTACTTCCCCGCGGCTTTCTAAATATTTTCCAGAGAATCCCTTGAGAATAGTTCTTGTCGGGCTGATTTTAAGATCCAGTAGTTTAGATACGTGGCTAGAGAGTACATTAACTTGACTCCCGATATCAATATAAGATTTAACGTATACACCATTAATTTTTACTGCTTTTTCGTAAATCCTGTTATGATTTTGTAGAAGCTTGATTTCTTTAACCTTGTCATCAGTACATGGCTTTTGAGATATAACGCAGCGTGTTGCATTGTGGCCTTGCTTGCCACATTTAAAGCATATTCGTGAATCGGGATACGGACAGTTACAAGGTATGTGGCCAGTTTTCTTGCAGCGCGGGCATGGGTCAATGTCTGGGTTGACAGATTTATTATTATTTTTCTCATTTACCTGCCGATTATAGGTAATGGTATCTTTACTCGCCGTACGCATTCCAATAGATGTTGACGGTGGTTTATAGTCGTCTAAGGCACAGAGAAAACCTTCATACAATTCTTCAGGTCGCTCGCATTGATATGCTCTTGCGTTCGCTTGTAGTGATGGTGGTAGGCCACGAATGATGCAAGACACAGTCGCGCTATGGGACAGCTTACATCGGAAACACATGGCGACTTTGTCCTGATAGTACTTCGTCATCGATTCTGAGGGTAGTTTTTTTTTCGGTTCATCATCTCTTCTAACATATTCCCGAAGTCGCGATGTCTGGGAAAGGCACGCTTCAACATCTGCTTCCAGTCCTCCCAGGAATAATCGTATTCTTCTAACCGGTTGTACCATCTTCTTGCTTGGCCTCTTAATCTGTCTTGTAGGTAAAACGCCTTTGTGGTTTCGCTCCAGTTGTGTATTTCACCCAGTTGATCGATCTTTTTAAGCCATGCTGATGCAGTAGTGCATTCCTCACTGTCGGGGTCGAACTCAGGAATAAGTGAGGCTGCGCGGTGTTCTTTTCTTGTTGTGACGGTAGGTATCTCTTCATTTAATTCGTACATAGCCTTACGAACTTCGGTTTCTAAGAGTCTTCTAAGGATTTTTCGTGCCGGAGGAGTGCCTGGCGATGTATCTTCGGTTTCACTTGCGTCGGGAGCATCTCGATTATGTATTTCCAGACGGTCTGTACTTACCGCATCAATATGCTGACGTTTCATTGCTCCTTTTTTATTTAATTTATACCACTTCTGATATGAAGCAGAAGGGTGATGTATTAAAGAAAGACAAGTACTTGAACTGATTATATTTGAACAAACGGACAGAGTTTCGGCTTATCAACTTAACAATGTTGTCAAAACTTGTCAAAATGAGCTTGCGGGGCATTATATAGCTTTACCCCCACCGGAGGCATCCGGTAGCTGTAGTGGTGGCTTGGCATGGCTTGGATTGGCTGGTTCCATTGTCTCGCTATGATAGGCTGTGGCAGTGTAGCGTAACAATATGAATATCTAATAAGTATTAGGTAAATATATATTTTACGCATTGAAATATATTAGATTTGCTTTACATCGGCTGGCACCGGCTTCGAAAATATCTGATTAGGTATCTATTCTAAATGACAATCTCCGTTTAGTTATTTTTTTACATTTTAGTGCCTGGAAGTCGGTTTTATTTATTTTTTTAAAAGTTTTTATATTGAGAGTATGTTTATTTTCGCCTGGTGGCACCACCTACTATAAATTAGGGCTTATTTAAATTAAAACACCCATGTGAATAGAATAGAAGAGCGGTTAGGTCGCTAACAAGTGTTAGAAAGACAAGTGAAGTCACCACCAGCTTGATTGATGGGATGAGGTTTGATTGGGGAGATGCCCGTGCCCAGCAGTGAAATATTAAAAAATGGTTGAATGCAATTATACTCGTCAATGAAGTCCATGCTTAAAGTTTTTTGTGCTTCATTATTCATAAAACAATTAAATCTATTAAAGTTATGTCTTCAAGCAATCTATTGTGGCTTTTCGTTTTTTTCGTTCAATGTACTTCCTACCTTGGTACTTTGAATTGTATTCAGCTCTTTTTTACGTCCCACTGCTGGGGACGGACTCTCTTCAATACGAGGAAGATCAGGCCATAGTCCATTTATTTTTTCATACTTTTTACATTATTATGCATACATATATTGGACTTGACATGTATAGACACTGAGATGTTAGGCTTAAAATCGAATATGTATGCTTGTATAAGTGCCAATGCTCTTCAACCTATGTATACGTGAACGATTTGATCAGTAAGCTCAGCGGTACCAGGGTCGACTGCTACGTGGATGGTGTTAATATAAACAACATCAGCTAGACTGACATGGTGCTGTTGAGGGCGTCGATTTGTGGCCATAGGAAGTTGGTGGCTATGTGACGCTTTAGTCTGAAGAGATGGTTTGATCTACAATGCCAAAAAAAGTTTGTTGATGGTCTTTAAAGTCGAGGGTAAAACACCAATTAATGTACCACCTATATACATAGTCTTGCCCTAAATATTGTTACAAAGAAAAAAACATTTTTTCTATTGCACGTAACATTTATTACTATTACAGTGTGTTAGTTTAATACATTATTATAAAACCATAACAATATATAAAGCTTATTCGAAGTGGTCCCCATTGGCTGCAATACAGTCTTTTAAACGTTGAAGCCAGTTTTAAATAGAAGCACGCACACTTTCCATGGGACAATTCTTCGATTGATTCGTATGGATTGTTTTAGGGACTCCAAATTATCATGTCATTTAGAGCAAGCCATACTCTCTAAAACTGACCATAAATCATAATCCAGCGGATTAATATCGTGACTAGATGACGGCCAGTCTTCAGCTCTGATAAAGTTCGGAACGTGGGTTTCTAACCAAGATTGCGTGGATCGAGCTTTATGACCTCAGCCGAGTCTTGCTGAAAGGACTGGTTATTGAATATGGTGTTATTAAGGGGCTTACCTACCTTCTCAAGAATGGTATCTTGATACACTTGTGCCGATGTTTTGATACCTTTTTCATAAAAATATGGCTCAGTCGGATATTGCCAACGTTGTACTCTGTTGACTAATTGGGAATAATTCCAGGGCGAAAAACGGAAATTCTTAAAAATAACTCAGAATTCGAATTTCCAATTTCGCGCAAAAGTCCGTGTTAACATGTGTGTAAATTATGTGTGTTAACATATGTTAAGGAACGTAACCGAAGCAAGAGACGGTCGCTAGTATTATATACAAAAACGACTAACAGGATAAAAATTATATCTACCATATTATAAAAGAGAAATGTAACAAACGTCGAGGACGAACGGGGAAAATATTAATATCATATTAATCATTACAGCAAGTGTAGTGGTTGTGTCTGTATGACAGTTATAATGTTAAAAATAATTTGCTGTATGTGTGCTTTATACATAAATTTCTTAGGTGAGTTCTTTGTTTATATTTTCTCCATTAGAATTAAACTTAAAAGCTTTAAAATACATATATATAATATACATATGTAGAGTGCATGTATACCTATTCGCACGCGCTGACATGGGATATTCATACTAACCGTTAAAACGCACTTAGGGTCTAGTGACGGACCCAAGCGAAGCTAGGGTGAGTCGCTAGTTTTTAATTATGGTAGGGTATGTATACAACTTCCCAAAAACTTCAAAATTTTTCATTGGTTTTTTTTTCGTGGGTCCCTATTTTTTTTCTAAAATAAATGTACCCTAAGTTACTCCTTATTACATCAGCTAAATATTACACGAAAAAATATTTTATTTAAATGTAGATTTTGTTGATTAGTTTTTTTAAATTATTATTTAGAGTATTTTTATTATATATATATATATATATATATATATATATATATATATATATTAGATCAGTTTTGTTTGGCAAGTCTAATTATAAAACTACTCGAGTGATACACTCCAAAGAAGGAAATATTATTTCTGTTGACTTGTTTTAGTTTAGTTTTAACAATAAAATTATCGTTCTTAAACGTGCCTTAAATATCTTCTTTACAGATAAATAAAATTGAAGTGTCTGTTTGTAATGTCAAAATAACAGCTTTTTACTAAATGCATATGGATGTATACACGGTATATATACCAAATGACATTTTTTACAATTTTTGTCTGTCTGTCTGTTTGTTCCGGCTAATCTTTGAAATGCCTGGACCAATTTTGACGAGACTTACACTGACAGATAGCTAATCTCATAAGAATTCACTTAGACTATTTCTTTTAGAAAAATAATTAGGGTTTCGCTCAAAAAACTAACCGTAACAAAAACAAAAAAACCGCACAAAACGAGGGTAAAAAGGTAGTAGGCATTTTATAAAACATAAAACAACACGTTTTAAATGATACTGTTATTATTTAGTGTATTTGAAACTAATCTTAAAAATAATGGAGACAAATTAAAATTTCAGAGACTACCTGCAAAGATACAAACGGTATGTATAAAAAAGTTTTCATTGTTGATATAATATCAAAGCTAGCAAAATAAATGAATATTCAGTGACAGTGACCACTCTCATTAAAACTGCGTTACAGTCCACAGGAGGAAGGAAGACTGTGACCGAAAATTCCAGTAACAATTCCACGAAAAATAATATGGTTATAGCTGGTTATCCGGGTCAACTAATATACTAATACGAGTATACTAATATGTAAAATCTGAAAATTTGGTTATTGGTCATCTGATCGCGGGCGGAGCCGCGGGCATTGCTAGTATATAAATAAAAATGAAATGCTGTTCTTTAGAAAGAGCACCACTTGAGAACGGCTGGGCCGATATCGCTAATTTTGATGAAAATTCGTAACATTGTCTTTCGTAATATTTCGTTCGGAAAATGATATTCGAGAATAATCGAAAGTGTTTTTTAACCCTGACGTAAAATGAGGGGTGTTATAAGTTTGATGTGTTTGTGTGTTTGTATGTCTATAGCGTGTTTGGACTTATGAGAATAGTCTCGATGAGAGTTTTCTATTAGAATTAGTGTCTGCGAGTAATTTAAATAGTATGAAATAAAAATAAAATTAAAATTTTAAATAACCACCTTACACAAAAAAGCTCTAAAAAAGTAAAGTACTTTATCAATATCAATCTTGTTTTTATTTGTGTTTTGGTGTTTATTATAATTACTTAGCGATCCCCCGACGCGGGGACGCTCATTATCAAACTGTTAATAGGTACTATTTAACCGATTTCCAAAAAAAGAGGAGGTTCTCAATTTGTCGGATTTTTTTTTCGCCGACGCCGCGACGCGATTTGTAAATTTTTTTTTGTTTCAAACTTCCCAGGTAGACCCATATAAATTTTATCGAAATCGATCGAGCGGTTTTAAAAAAAATCAACAATAAATATATTTTTTAAATAAATTGTTTAATCGAATATGTTAGTATGAAACTTTCTTCTTACAAATTACCTGCTTATTACGTCTACACTAAAAATGGAAAAATAAATACTAAAAAAAAAACCGACTTCCAGGCACTAAAATGTAAAAAATAACTAAACGGAGGTTTTCATTTAGAATAGATACCTAATCAGATACTTTCGAAGCAGATGCAAAGCAAATCTAATATATTTCGATACGTAAAATACATCACAAATTGATATATAATATTTTAAGTTTTTTAACTATAAGTAATTAGAGTTCATACCTAATCATATTTACCTATTAGATATTCATATCTTAAAATATTGTAGGCTGGCACCGACTTATCGAATCGAAAATCGCATCGAAAATATCTGATTAGGTATTTATTCTAAATGAAAACCTCCGTTTAGTTATTTTTTACATTTTAGTGCCTGGAAGTCGGGGTTTTTTTAAAGTTTTTATTTTTCCATTTTTAGTGTAGATGTAATAAGCAGGTAATTTGTAAGAAGAAAGTTTTTTTATAACATATTCGATTAAGCAATTTATTTAAAAAATATATATATTTATTGTTGATTTTTAAAAACCGCTCGGCCGATTTCGATAAAATTTAAATGGGATCACCTGTTGAACTTGCTTGCTCATCAACTTGGTTATGATCGTCATCCACGGCAACAAAATCGTCTTCTGAAAATACAGCTGGGTTCATAGGAAAATTTCCCGCGGCTTTGAAGCCAGAGATCCCTTTGTTTAAGCTTGCTACTCTGGCATAAGCTTTGTTGAACAATCCTGCAATATCGTATGGTGTAATTTTTACCAAATTTCTGGATTTTATAAACATGTCACATTCCTTGTTGTAGGCCCGCTCTTGACCGGCCCAAAAAAAGTCACATCTAGAGGCTGTAACCGATGAGATCAATGTGGTGGAATGGAAAGCATAACGACATTGTTTGCTTTAGCCACTTCCCAAGCTTCTAAAGTACAGTGGCTTTTATGGTTGTCCATTGTCAGCAAAACAGGTTGTGTAGCAGTGGGTTTAGAGTACTCAATGAAATGTCGCAGCCATTTAACGTATATGCTTTTATTTGTCCAACCATTATGAGAGCATGTATAAACAGCACCTGGTGGACCATCCTTTTCTAGCTGTGGTGAGTGATGTTGTCGGGGGAAAATAAAAAGAGGCGAAATGAAGGATCCTGCAGCACTCATAGCACAGATAACCGTGACTTTTTTTCTCTTTCCTATAATGTGACTGTTTTAACTCGTTTTTGTCCCCTAGGCGCTATTTTTTTTCTGTGTCCTGGACTGTCATTACTTCTGTCTCATCCATATTGTAAATATGAGACGGCGGAAAGTGGTGACATCCTCCAGATTTTCAAAAAATCGATCCACTTTGACTTTATTGAACCTAAGTGTTCTATTGATACTTGTCACTTCTGGTTTTCTGATACATTAATTAGGATGTATTTGGAAAAAGCCAGCTAGAAAGTCTCTGCCCGCAGACTTCTTGACTTCGTTAAATCGATCTGCAACACCATATTTTTCAGCCATGGCGTAACATATCTTACAAAACTAAGCCCTGGTCAGTCCATAAAACTATTTGATATGTAATGAAGATGATCAACCAGATTAGTTTCTTGTTGCTCAGTGAACACGGAGCACCTTCCTAGCTTTGGAGAACATTTGTAGTTTAGTTAAATCGAACGATTTAGCTAGTCTGAACCTCTTTTTCAAGGTGCTGTAGGGTATTCCAATCTATTTTGATGCCTTGTATACGGATGTACTGTCACGCCTAAGTTTTTTGATAGCATTTTCTAAGGGTTCAATTTGTCAAAAATTTAGTTGTATAAAGTATCTAAAGTCTGATTTTTAATTCCACGGAAATATGACAGCTGTCATTCTTTGACAATTCAGATATCATAAACCTTTTTTGCTTTGTATTTTTTTAATATAAAATAACAAAAAATATGAAACAGAATTAGATCAAGTAAACTATATGTATGACATTGTAAATAGTCTTCGTTTTGTGCAATCAATGCACGCTAACTATAATGTAAATATTTAATGGTTAAATGAATAAACAGAGTAAAACAAAATATTTTACAAACAAAGGGGTTTTACTAAAAAAGGCTTGCTTGCAACCTATGGATTTTGGACAGGGTTTCCTGTAATAGAAAAATAATGTCCTTAATTGTAACTTCAATAATATGATAATAAAAAAATTATTACCATTTTAGAGCCATCAATAATATTTTAAGTCTTAGTTTTTCTAATTGAAACCTTAAGTTGAAGAAAAGTTTATTTTTTTATTTTGCTAAAATGCTTTCCGTTTTTAGTGCCAATATTTCAAAGTTGACAACACTTCTGAAATGTCAGAATTCCGTCGAATTAAAAATCAGACTATAGTCCCAAAAACCCACGATACTAGGGCGATGTCGCACTTTCGCTGAAAATCAGGCCTATACCTATATACGGTTTTGTACGAATTTACATAGAACCTCCCTTCTCTTTGTAAATGAGTTAAAATTTATTGTGAAAGTAAATGTGTGAAAATATTTTACGTTATTTTAGTTTTATTATAAATTATGTTTCAGAAGATCTGGTTTTGACCGTGAATGGTCAGAAACTTACGAACTGGGTTGAAAAGATTGACACCAAAAAAAAAAAATTATTACAAAAAAATTATACTATTACCGGGAATGAAACGATGAACATTACGTGTGAAGCTAGAAAAAGGTTAAAGATTTATAATGCTCCAGAGTTTTATTACAGAATTGAAAACCAAACTCAGGAAATAGATACTAAACGTAAGTAGGTATAAGTACATTTATTGAAAAATGCAGTTCAAATGTTTTGTTTTGCATGTTTGTGCGTGCTTGCGTGTGTGCGTTTACACGGAAACGGCTGGACGAATTTGGATGAAAAGTATAGTATTGTGGACACAAATAGAATATGATCTACAGCAACGTATAGATATACTAACAGTTAGTATACAACAATTGGCAAAAAGATGGCGCTACCTATATATATCGATCTACTATTATACTGTATACGTACTATATGTATGTAAATGTATGCGTGTGTGTACTTGTTACTCCTCCACGCTGGAACTGCTTGATTTGGATTTAGTGAACAGATCCAATATGACCTGGAGTAATGCATAGACTACTCTATCGCACTTAAGGAGGGACGCTAGTTGAGCTAGGTGAGTCGCTAGTTAATCCATCTACACTAATATAATATTATAAATGCAAAAGTAACTCTGCCTGTCTGTCTGTCTTTTAATCCTTTTTTATTCGTTCTACGTTTATGTCTGTATATTTACATTTTGCATGTATGTATTTGGGATTTCTATCTGTTATATTTATATCTGTCTTATCTGTGTAGTAAGTACACCGCCTAACATTTCATACGTATATAATTTCTCCTACGCTCTAAGGTTGCCTGGCTTATGGCTGCATCGCTTATAAGGCTGCCTCCTGTACATCGTCTATTGTTGATTTCCTCTATTGTATATTTCTTTGTGGTATGCAACAAAGTATCTTATCTATTTATCTACCTATCTGACTGTCTGTCTGGTACCTATTCACCGCTTAATCCACTGAACCGATTTTGATGAAATTTAAATCTAATTTAAATGTATGGGGAATCAATTATTTCTCATGTAAGGGATCGCTAGTATTAATTATTTTATTTATTTATTTTATTTTATTTTATTTTTTATTTATTTGGGAAACAAACAGTACAAATTGATACAAATTAAAAAACAAAACATAAAATATAAATCATTGACCAATAAAGTTTCCACAGTTAAATAGTACATAGAATAATGCGACCAAATTAATTACAATTAAAAAAAAATTTACATTAAATAAAATAATAATCACATGAATAGAAAATAATTAATGTTTTAGTAATAATTACATAATTATAGTTAATAAAGAGTCGCAAATATAATTTAATACAAATAAAAATAATTTAAACTAGGTCATATTCTTAATTTGTTGAGTTAACTTCTGGAACGAACCCGTAAAGTAATCAATTGAACAGTATTCTTTGTTATATAATAAACAAGAACGATGAATGAAGGCATTTTGTGCATATTTGGTACGTGTAGTATTTAAATAAAATAAAGATTTAATTCGCGAAGATTGTCTTGGACATCGGAAGTTAATGATGTTAAGAAGAAATGGAGAGTCAATAATATTATGTAGTAATTTAGTAACAGAAATGTTTGGTCCTTTACCTTACGACGTTTTTCCAGAGAGGTCAAATTAGGAACAACTTGATCAGTAGCGGAACATCTAAATCTTAAATGCTTTAAGAATTTTGTTTGAATTTTCTCTATTTCTTGAATGTGGACTTTGTAATGTGGATTCCAAATCACCGAACCGAATTCTAGTATAGAGCGAACGAATGCGTTAAAGAGAAGAATCAGGGTAGTATTATTTTTAAAATCTTTACTAATTCTAAGAACAAAACCAAGCATCCGATAGGCTTTTGCAGTCGCATATCTATAGTGTTGACTAAAGGTTAACGAGGAATCAAGGTGAATGCCCAAATCTCTCACCCCTAAAACCCGTTCAATAAGATTTTCGTTTAAAGTGTACTTGAAATTAATAGTATTTTTTTTGCGGGAAAATGATATTACGTTACACTTTTTAATATTAAGTTGTAAGAGATTATCATTGCCATACTTACACAATTTATTCAGATCATCCTGTAATAAACTACAATCAGAAGGTTTACTTATGGTTTTATATATCTTCATATCATCAGCATAGAGTAGAATTGAAGAATGTTTAAATACCGCAATAATGTCATTAATGAATAAATTATATAAAAGGGGTCCAAGATGAGAACCTTGGGGCACACCAGAAGTAACAGGCACAAACGAAGAGCAGTAACCTTTAATTGTAACCGCCTGGCTACGATCTCTGAGGTATGAAGTAAGCCAACGGAGGAGGTCGCCATGTATACCGAGTTCTTCAATTTTACAAATCAAGGTTACATTACAGATTTTATCAAATGCCTTTGAATAGTCGGTATACACCACGTCCACCTGGAAACCTTGATCCATAGCGGAAGTAACCTGATGAACAAATTCACATAAATTGGACTCTACAGATTTTTTATTTATGAAGCCATGCTGTTGAGGAATTATAACGGTTCGTAGGATAGGAAAAACACAGTCATATAAAATTTTCTCAAGAAGTTTAGCGATAGTACATAATTTAGATATAGGTCTGTAATTTTTCACATTGTGCTTATCACCTGATTTAAAAACTGGTACCACATAACTTTGTTTCCACAGTTGAGGCATTTCGCCGCTACAAATAGATTTTTGAAATAATAAATAAATAAGAAGGGATAAACAGCAACGACACATCTTCAAAAAAATAGGAGGCAAGCCATCAGGCCCGTATCCCTTATTTATATCTAGTTTACTGAGGTATTTATGTACAATAAACGGAGAAAGTGTAACCGAACCTATGCTAACAAAACTATTCAGACTTGAGGTACTCACACGATTATTGTTGTTGATTAAGGATGGTGACTCCTAAACGGATTCAAAATAATTACTAAAAAGACAACATATTTCATTTCCGTCACAGGCTATTTCTCCTAGTTGCATAATCTCAGGGATATTAGAGGAAGAATTTTTCGATCGGACAAATGACCAAAAGAATTTGCTACATTATTTAATTTTACTTTCAGAATTTGAAATGTACAAATCATAATATTTAGATTGTAACCTTTTCTCACGATCACGCAAGAGACTAAACGTATCATAATCAGAAGTTCTGTTATAAATTTTCCATTTCCTATGATACTTTAATTTTTCATTAATAACTTTTATTAAGGATCTAGGGTACCAGCAGGGATAATTATTATTATATTTTACAATTTTAATTGGAATAAAATCATTAACAATTTTAAATATAGTTTCATAAAAAACATTAACAGCATCCGAGATTTAACGGTCATCTAATAATTCAATCCGATCAATTTTGAACAGTGCATTATTGATTTCTTCGTAGTTAGCACGGTGAAAAAGTCGAATCATTCTAGGAGTCGGTTTAATTATTCGCAAACTATGTATAGCAAATAGTATCTCCAGAGCAGGGTAATGTGCATCCTCTTTAACAAGAGGTTGAGGGCAACGACTTACGGTACAGTGGCAGTCACTAAAAATAAGATCTAGATGTCTGCTATTAATATTATGAACTGAATTGAATTGCCTCAGATCAGTAAAATTCACAAAGTTGGCCAAGGCGTACACTAGACTATTATCATCACCACGATTACTCAGGATCATGATATTGTCATTCTTAACCCACTGCGCAGTCGGAACATTAAAATCACCTAATACCAAGAAACTGTCATTAGGATAATTTAGCTTGTCATCGAAAACCAATTCAAAAAAATCAATGAGCGTATCAAAATGGCGGTTAATATTAGGGAAATAGCAGCAATATATATGAAGTGACTCAGTTATTGCAGTAGACACCAACGATATTGTTACTTTCACTATTTCAGCTGAAAAGTTGCTCAATTATATGGATGTCGACGAACGAACTGTTAAGTTAGATTTTAAGACGATAAGTACACCGCCACCCATTGTGTCTCCTCGTTCATTATAATTTCTATCACATCTATGGACAGTGTATCTTGAATCAACAAGTTCGGAATCAAAAATACCATCATACAACCACGTCTCGCTAAGACAGACGATATCATACTCCCCCTGCATCACAGCCCTGAAGAACGTATTAGTTTTGGTACGTAAGCCTCGTACATTTTGGTAGAAAATGTTTAAATTATATTCCATGATTAAATAAGTTTAATGCAATTATACGTACAATATAATTCATTACAAAAATAATAATAATAATTCCACTATTCCGCATTTGATTTATATTATAAGAAAAAATATATGTTAAATGATAAATGTAAGAAATGACTGCAATAATATCCATTAAATAAATATCGTAACGAATAATCCATTTAAAACTTAACTTATTTGCACAAATACCTTCACCAACGTTAAAAACTAATAAAGAACAAAATGCATTACAAAGATCAAAACAACTATAGCCAGAGAACACCAAAACGCCGTAACAGGAAGTGCCACAGGTACAGATATAAATTGTCATTATACAATTTTGTTTAAGTCCTTCATATTTGATATATTCAGCACAGCACTGTTGTCAGAACGTCTTATCATTATGCTGCAATTCTTTATCCAAACATATTTATAATTCTTCTCCTTAGCTATTTTTTTTACAGATAGTAGCAAGGTTTTATTTGTGCTTGTTAGGTGCTCATTAAAGTAAACGTTATTATAGTTGTTAGAAAATCCTAAATCATTACACCTAATCTTTAGTTTTCTTGCCTGTGCGAGGAATTCATCTTTTTTCCAGCGATATAAAAAATATTTTTTTTTATACCACGTCGGTGGCATGCGGCCCGCCTGATGGTAAGCGGTTACCGCAGCCTATGGACGCCTGCAACACATTAGGCATCACATGCGCGTTGCCGACCCTTTAAAAACCTATTTACTCCCCTTTTGAAGGACCCCATACTGTAGCCCTCTGGGAAAACCTCAGCAGGGAGTTCATTCCACAGCGAGATGGTCCGTGGGAGAAAGTTCCTCTGAAACCGAACTGTACGGGACCATTTGGGCTGCAATGTGTGAGCATGAACTCACTGTCGATGGCGAGCGGTGCGGTGATAGAAAGTGGCCGTGGGCATCATTTCGAACAATTCTTCGGAACACAACCCATTGTACAATCGATAGAGCACACATAGGGACGCAAAATCTCTTCTTAGACTTAGGGGCTCTATATCGCTTGTCAGTATTGGATCGTCGACAATTCTCACAGCTCTCCTCTGAACCGAGTCAAAAGGCCCAAGCTGGTATGCCGGTGCTCCCGCCCAGAGATGCGAGCAGTACTCCATATGGGGACGGACTTGCGATTTATATAAAAGCAGTCTTTGTCCCGGGGTGAAGTACCGCTTCGCTCTATTAAGCACACCTAGCTTTTTGGATGCCAGCTTGACCTTGTCTTCCAGGTGACTTCGGAACTGGACGTTGCTGGATATGTCGACACCAAGAATACCAATACTGTTGGAGATGGTTAGGGGTGTTAACTATGATAGGCTTACATTTTTTACCAACTTTATTTTTGTTTTTGGTGGCAACTCTGGTGATAAAATCAATGTCAGTGCCAGGATCAATTTTTATTGAGGTTTTGCTTGCAACGTTTTGTAAAATAGAATAGAGATTTTCATTTTTTTGTTCTGGAATTCCATAAATTTCAATATTCGATCGACGAGCCCATTGCTCACGATTATTGTTTTCAGTAAGGATTGATTGCATTGTAGATTTTATTTCCTCGAACTCAGATACCTTTTCACTATACTGATGAAGTTCTTTTTCACATTTCTCAATACGTGAATTTAAACTATCATATTTTGTACTAAAGAAGTCCAAGGATTCCTTTATAGAATTGAAATCCTGGCGAATCGAAATTCTTCTTTGAGTGGAATGAATGCTGATTTAAATTCATCCTTCAAGCTAGAAATTTCCGAAGTAACAACCGACCTAATTAACTCAAGTAGATTATTATTATTTATCCCGGCCTCTTCACAGGTGTCCACCTGAATAGTTGACAATGAACTACCACCTCTTTTAAAGTTAATATTTTCATTTGACTTAGTATTTACACCACTACTACGTATGGATATTATCATTATTTGTTTGCCTCGGTATCAGTATAGAGCACTCCGGGCACATCCAATGTTTTTTCAATTCATGTTTTAATTCTTTTTTACTATCTGTTGCGAAGAGGCACTGAACATGGTAATTTTGTCGACATTTAGTGCAAGTAATAATGTCACTACTGCCACCTGTGGTCGATTTGCAACACGCAAACTTCATATTTATGTATTTTAATAATAAATTAAAATGAATAAAGTTATTAAAAGAACTTCACAGCCAAGATTTGAACCCGAGATATCAGTTCGTTCAAGAGTAAAGGCAGTGTTGTATACCGCAACGCCAATTTGTTTTACTTGAAGATAGTGAGTTAACGCAACTAATATTGCATTACTGTACTAACACTAGCTGAGGTCATTGAACGTAATAGCTAGAGGACACACAATGTTACCGCACAACAATATTAACCACTAAATTTCGAATTTGAATACTTTAAAATAACATAGCACTAAAATATCTAGTTTAAATATTAGTAACTGCAAGAACACACTTAATTTTGAGTTTATACTGTTTCAATACTTCATTTTGAGATAAATATAAGGGTCAAACGGAATTACACTTGCTCAGCACGACATCGCGCCGTTGACTTATGTCGACTATATTATATGTAAATGTTCTTTTAGATCACTGTACGAAGCATAAAGATTGCAAAAAAATTAGCGTGAATCTGACAGTGGTCCCAGGGTCTTCCTTAACATGCAATACGACGTACAAGTCTGGTGGACAGCGGAAAATCATACATTTGGTTTTATTTTTTTTTATGATTAAGATACGTGAGTGTTAATTTAATAAATAATTTATTTACTTTTAACCCCTTGCAGATATTATGTGCCCACAAATGTGGGAGATTGATAGAAAAAGAAACGACAACCATTTTAAAATATAAATTTTATTATAAAATAATACATTATTCAAAAGCAATAATTTATAAAATAAACAAATATTTGAAAATATTGCACGTATTTTAAAATAATACTAACATAATATATAGTTATTTGACCCGGTGGCCAAAACTGAAACTACGTGTCGTCATTTTGAAATGTCATTTTAGTGTCAAGTGTTGCCTTGGAATCCGGCCTCTAAATTGCCCAAAAATATAATTCATTAAAAACGTGTTTGATTATTATTCCTTGTTATATCATGTTGTATAACAATGACTAAAATAGCAAATTTACATTTCGATTTTTCCTTGTGCATTTGAACTGTGTCATTATTTTTACCCTAAAACTGCGGAAGTTCTGTTAAGCGGCAATACTAAATTCAACAACAGCGACGCTATCACCGCGTCAGAAAGTTTGTGGCACTGTATTTTTAACCGACTTCCAAAAAGGAGGAGGTTATCAATTCATCAGAATCTTTTTTTTCTTTTTTTTTATGTATGTTCACCGATTACTCGAAGACGCCTGAACCGATTTGGACATTTTTTTTGTTTCAAAAGGTATACTTCCCAGGTATTCCCATTTACATTTGTAAATGAACAATACATTTTTTTTTAAATAAATTGTTTAATCGAATATGTTATTAAAAAAAAATTCCTCTTACAAATTATTACGTCTACACTACAAATGGAAAAATAAAAACTTTTTAACAAAAAAAATTAAAACCGACTTCCAGGTACTAAAATGTAAAAAATAACTAAACGAAGGTTTTCATTTAGAATAGATACCTAATCAGATATTTTCGAAATCGGTGCCAGCCGATGCAAAGCAAATCTAATATATTTCGATACGTAAAATACATATTTACCTATTAGATATTCATATCTTAAAATATTGTAGGTTGGCACCGACTGATTAGGTATCTATTCTAAATGAAAACCTTCGTTTAGTTATTTTTTACATTTTAGTACCTGGAAGTCGGTTTTTATTTTTTTGTTAAAAAGTTTTTATTATAATATTAGTAAGGATACAATTAAATGACCAGTCTTTAATGAAGAAGTTTCATGTTTATATTAATTACGTACTTGCTGTGTTCTTCTTATTGCTGTTCCAGATGAGAACAAGACCGCGGTTTCCCATAAAAGTAAGTAATTTTTTCTATAGATCTTATCTCTCTGTATGCATATCTGTGTGCGCTTGTGTCTGTGTGTGTGTGTGTGTGTGTGTGTGTGTGTGTGTGTGTGTGTGTGTGTGTGTGGGCAAATTTGGATGAAATTTAGTACACAGATAAACTATGTTTGGAGTAACACATAGACCACTTTGGGTACCTCCTACCTAGAGATGCATCCGAGCAAAGCGAGGGTAAGTCGCTGGTTTTAGTATAACCTTATATCTCGAACAAGGCAGTTAGAATATAAATGAATGTCGCTGGTTTTAGTACAACCTTATATCTCGAACAAGGCAGTTAGAATATAAATGAATACTTCAAACATAATAATTCCATCCATAGAGATCACTTTAATCAAAATTGATTCATTTGCGAGTTCATCGTGACAGCATTCATACAAAAAGGTACATACCTGAATTGAGAACTTTCTACGCCTTAAAGAGTAATTAATAGTAATATTCATCCATACAAAATACGATTATCTCAAGCTTCAAATTCCTCCTCCTTGCCTTTATTTAAGCAAATTGAAGGTTGAAAACAGATATCCAGCTCTTTATTTCTGATGCTGCAGGAGTTATCTATTTGCTTTCAAAATACCTACTTCACTAGAAAAAGCTTTATTGTCATGCCGGATCCTCACACTTGTCATTTGCCACAAACTTCAAATCTCTAGAAACGCACGACCCTGTGGACTCATCACAAGTACTTGCCACAAATTTGCCTAAAACTTCGAGTTCTGCACAAAAACACGACCGGAACGTCCACAGATGCTTGCAAACCTACTCAAGTCAAGTCAAATATCCTCTCCACATGTTTCAATTTGTGATGGCTTGTCGAGGCTTGGCGAGCGTGAGGGTCTGGCATCATGTTCCTGAAGTATCATGCTATGAAATGTCTTCTGCGTAACTGACCAATGCTTTCAATAAAAAAATGATTGAAGTGTCTCTTTTTTAATTTTCAGTGTTAGCAATAAAAGGTCTTAAAACGGAAAACATAAGATTCGATAACGGAACCATTATATCATATAAATTTAAACATGGCGATGAAATTGAACTAACGTGCCTCAGGAAGCCGACGCGTCACGGCAAATTTAACTTAGCATGGTATAAAAGTACGTGATCTGTCAGAGTTATTACTTAGCTAACACATTATATTCATAATAATAAATACTATAAAATTAACAATAATTAATCAATTGAGCATCTATAACTAACAGTATATACAGCTATGACAATATATTTTAATTATTGGAGAACGAACGATAACTTCTATATAATATTAATTTCAACTGAGACCTTATCGTCTGCAGAGTCACATTTCATCAGAAATATTTAGGAGTATAATTTAATTTTGTTATTTATAATATCGGTCAGTAACCTAAAGAATCATTCAAATCGGTCCACATTTTGCAATTTCGCTTAGCACACAAACAACATGCACTTGAGTAGATACCTTCTCCTTTTTGAAATGTGTCAAACATGACCCAGTTCCATTTAACCAATACAATAATCATAATCGTTGGATGCTATCACTACTACGTCAAAATAAACCTCCATAGTCCTAATCTCCATAGTCCATCATGTAAAGAAAATATTCGAGATTTCGATCTTAGCAGCATCAGCTGAATATTCAACATTGCTATAAGATAGACTGAGTTTTTCAGATTTGTGTTACTTTTTAGTTTTTACTGTTTTTATAGTAATAAATGTTTTATATTTATCTTTTATTTTAAATAAAACTTCCAGATGGCCAAAGTCTAACAAGAACAAAAGAAAAAGAAGTGAAACAAAACTTTCTTTTGCATGATGTGGATAATGGGTCACTTATTACCTGTGGATTAGATGGATCACTTTATGAAGACTCTTACGATTATTATGAAGACATACCACCGTATTACGAACATCACGAAAATATATCAATCGTATTATTATATGAAAAACATATAACTAATACTAAAGGACCTACAACAAAAGTTCAAACTAAAATGGCTTCGGCACCAGGTAAAGTCACTTACATATCAACCAACTAGATCCCGTATAAGGAAATTGGACATGCGACACAAGTCTAAAAATGTCAACAGCGCCATCTTTGAATACACAGTTTTACCAAGAGCATTTGCAAAACCCAGAATGTGCTCGTATTTCTTGGGGATTTTATAAATTTTACACAATATTAATAAAAAAAAATGGTACATATAACGCCATCTATTTATATAATTATATATATTTAATTGGGGCACAGATCTTGTAATACTATATTGGGGTAACTTTTGTTGTTCGTGATGAAACTCCATGGGCCATGGCTTCAGTAAAGTAAGTCAGGTAGAATATTTTGAAAACTAGTTTTAAAAAGTAATTTTATTAGCACAATTTTAAAGGCTTTGTGTATACAATATTCTTTTTGTATTCACTTTATTTCCGTTACTGTTGTTAATTTGTGGTCTTGCTCCATAATTATTTATGAACATGCTGCATACGACGACTTTATCCGGCGATTACTTACGTTTTTTATACAGATAATTTCCAAAATTTTCCACCTTATCCATAATAATTTTGAAAATGTAGAGAGGGGGCTTGGCTTGTATAGATGTGCCAGAATTTGGCAGTTTCGATGGAGTTCGGCTTTTTTGCACAAATCAAAGAAAGTTCGCGGCAAGCGCCTGTGCATTACAAACAAAAAAATATTCATTCAATAAATTCTAAAAAACAGCGGTTTTTATGAATTTTTAATACCATCTCCCTTGTTGACTCTATCCGTTCCATTTCGTTTCACTTTGTTTCGTTTTCTAATAGAAATAAGATGAACCGAACGTAATAGTCGATACCAGCTCGACGTCCATCACGCTTGCTTTTCCAACTCGGAGAAAAATGGCTGAACTTCGAGTAACATCAAATTTTTTAGCTACAATGGACCAAAACTGGTCGACGTAGCTAGGGCCGACCTCGGCACCACACCCAATATAAAAAAAAATAATAACATCAAATGGACGAAGGATGATGGTGATAGTCAAAATTGTTAAGATTCCTTTTGAGCCATTCGGCTATTAAACCCTATGAAAATTTCTATTTATTTTAAAGACTTTTAATAAAAAAATACGCCAGCCCTATCATACCTCAATCTACATAGTTACATAAACCAGATTCTAAGAAAATTGTGTACCATCTTGGCCTCCTCAGAAGTAGGAACGGACAAAATGGTATTAAAATTACCTATATCGAAACTATTCAGATTCAATGCTTTAATTAGGTTTTTCCTTTTTTGGTCCTACCGGACACATTCTACTAATAAATGATAAACATCTTCATATATACTCCACATACATCACAGCTTGGTGAGAGTGACTTTTTCATAAGAAATAGAAAATTATTTAATGGCATATGTCCGGAACGCAATCTATGTGTTTGTGGCCAATGGCAATTGTGTGGATCCGGCATAAGAATGAAACGGATATAGATTGTAATACAAGAATTTGCGATTACTTCAATGTATTCAGCCTTTTCAACGTCCCACTGCTAGGCACAGACCTCCCATCAATTCAAGGGCATCAAGCTATAGTCCACCATGTTGGTTAAATGTGGGTTAGCGGGCATCACATGGTTTTCGCAATCTGACTAGGTTCTCTCAGACATGCAGGTTTCCTCTCGACGTTTACCTTCACCGATACAAAATTAAAAGTAACAAAAAAACAATACCTATTTTTATAATATTAGCACTGATAAGAATAAACTTTAATGATCGTTCTTCAATGAAGAAGTTTCATGTTTATAATAACTACGTACTTACTATGTTCTTAGTATTGTTTACCAGATAATAAGATAGCGGTTGCCAATAAATGTAAGTTTTTTTTCTATAGATCTTATCTCTCTCTCTCTCTCTTTCCTCTCAGTGTGTGTGTGTGAGTGTGTGCGCGTGCGTGTGCGTGAGTGAGTGGGTGGGTGTGTGGGTATGTGTGGGTGCATGTGGGTGCGAGTGGGTGCGTGTGTGTGCGCGTGTGTGCGTTCGTGTGCGTGCGTGCGTGCGTGCGTGCGTGCGTGCGTGCGTGCGTGGTGCGTGCGTGCGTGCGTGCGTGCTTCCGTGGTGCATGAGTGCGTGCGTGCGTGCGTACGTGCGTGTGTGTGTGTGTGTGTTTGTGTGTGTGTGTTTGTGTGTGTGTGGGCAAATTTGGATGAAATTTAGTACACAGATAAACTATGTTTAGAGTAACACATAGACAACTTTGGGTACCTCCTGCTTAGAGATGCATCCGAGCAAAGCGAGGGTAAGTCGCTGGTTTTAGTACAACCTTACATCTCGAACAAGGCAGTTAGAATATAAATGAATACTTCAAACATAATAATTCCATCCATAGAGATCACTTTAATCAAAATTGATTCATTTGCGAGTTCATCGTGACAGCATTCATACAAAAAGGTACATACCTGAATTGAGAACTTTCTACGCCTTAAAGAGTAATTAATAGTAATATTCATCCATACAAAATACGATTATCTCAAGCTTCAAATTCCTCCTCCTTGCCTTTATTTAAGCAAATTGAAGGTTGAAAACAGATATCCAGCTCTTTATTTCTGATGCTGCAGGAGTTATCTATTTGCTTTCAAAATACCTACTTCATTAGAAAAAGCTTTATTGTCATGCCGGATCCTCACACTTGTCATTTGCCACAAACTTCAAATCTCTAGAAACGCACGACCCTGTGGACTCATCACAAGCACTTGCCACAAATTTGCCAAAAATTCGAGTTCTGCACAAAAACACGACCGGAACGTCCACAGATGCTTGCAAACCTACTCAAGTCAAGTCAAATATCCTCTCCACATGTTTCAATTTGTGATGGCTTGTCGAGGCTTGGCGAGCGTGAGGTTCTGGCATCATGTTCCTGAAGTATCATGCTATGAAATTTCTTCTGCGTAACTGACCAATGCTTTCAATAAAAAATTGATTGAAGTGTCTTTTTTTTAATTTTCAGTGTTAGAAATAAAAGGTCTTAAAACGGAAAACATAAGATTCGATAACGAAACCATAATATCATATAAATTTAAACATGGCGATAAAATTGAACTAACGTGCCTCAGGAAGCCGACGCGTCACAGCAAATTTAACTTAGCATGGTATAAAAGTACGTGATCTGTCAGAGTTATTACTTAGCTAACACATTATATTCATAATAATGAATACTATAAAATTAACAATAATTAATCAATTGAGCATCTATAACTAACAGTATATACAGCTATGACAATATATTTTAATTATTGGAGAACGAACGATAACTTCTATATAATATTAATTTCAACTGACGCCTTATCGTCTGCAGAGTCACATTTCATCAGAAATATTTAGGAGTATAATTTAATTTTGTTATTTCTAATATCGATCAGTAACCTAAAGAATCATTCATATCGGTCCACATTTTGCAATTTCGCTTAGCACACAAACAACATGTACTTGAGTAGATACCTTCTCCTTTTTGAAATATGTCAAACATAACCCAGTTCCATTTAACCAATACAATAATCATTATAGTTAGATGCTATCACTACTACGTCAAAATAAACCTCCATAGTCCTAATCTCGATAGTCCATCATGTAAAGAAAATATTCGAGATTTCTATCTTAGCAGCATCAGCTGAATATTCAACATTGCTATAAGATAGACTGAGTTTTTTAGATTTGTGTTACTTTTTAGTTTTTACTGTTTTTATAGTAATAAATGTTTTATATTTATCTTTTATTTTAAATAAAACTTCCAGATGGCCGAAGTCTAACAACATCATATTTTGAAGATGAAGTGAAACTAAACTCTCGTCTGTATGATGTGGATGATGGGTCACTTATTACATGTACATTAGACGAAGACGTTGATCAAAATGGCCAAGACTTAGTACCGTATCACGAAAGTAAATCAATCATATTGTTAAATGAAAAATATATAACTAATACTGAAGGACCTATGACTACAGCTCAATCTAAAATGACTTCGGCACCAGGTAAAGTCACTTACATATCAACCAACTAGATCCCATATAAGGAAATTGGACATGCGACACAAGTCATAAAATGTCAACAGCGCCATCTTTGAATACACAGTTTTACCAAGAGCATTTGCAAAACCCAGAATGTGCTCGTATTTCTTGGGGATTTTTTAAATTTTACACAATATTAATAAAAAAAAAATGGTACATATAACGCCATCTATTTATATAATTATATATATTTAATTGGGGCACAGATCTTGTAATACTATATTGGGGTAACTTTTGTTGTTCGTGATGAAACTCCATGGGCCATGGCTTCAGTAAATTAAGTCAGGTAGAATATTTCGGAAATTAGTTTTAAAAAGTGATTTTATTAGCACAAGTTTAAAGGCTTTGTGTATACAATATTCTTTTTGTATTCAATTTATTTCTGTTACTGTTGTTAATTTGTGGTCTTGCTCCATAATTATAAATGAACATTCTGCATACCACGACTTTATCCGGCGATTACTTACGTTTTTATATACAGATAATTTCCGAAATTTACCACCTTATCCATAATAATTTTGAAAATGTAGAGAGGGGGCTTGGCTTGTATAGATTTGCCAGCATTTGGCAGTTCCGATGGAGTTCGGCTTTTTTGCACTAATCAAAGAAAGTTCGCGGCAAGTGCATTACAAACAAAAATTTATTCATTCAATAAATTGTAAAAAAAACTGCGATTTTAATGAATTTTTAATACCATCTCCCTTGTTGACTCTATCCGTTCCATTTCGTTTCACTTTGTTTCGTTTTCTAATAGAAATAAGATAAACCGAACTCATAGTCAATACCAGCTCGACGTCCATCACGCTTGCTTCTCCAACTCAGAGAAAAATGGCTGAACTTCGAGTAACATCAAATGGACGAAGCATGATGGTGATGGTCAAAATTGTTAAGATTCCTTTTGAGCCATTCGGCTATTAAGCCCTATAAAAAATTCTATTTATTTTTGTTTGTCTGTCTGTTTGTCAGTCTGTCTGTCTGCCTGTTACCGCAAAACGAGAAAACCACTGGACAGATTTTGATGAAATTTGGGATGATGGTAGCTGGTTATCTGGGTCAACATACAGGATACTTTTCACCGCGAGAAAATATCTTATTTCTGAGAAAAAATACAAAAACTGCGTTTTAAGAGTATACTAATATGTAAAACCTAAGAATTTGGTTTTTGGTCATCTGAACGCGGGCGGAGCCGCAAGCAATGCTAGTAATAATATAATTGACAAGCGAATCGGTAGGCATCAGCATTGCCACTGCAGATGAGAAACGTAACAATACAGACGAAACTAACATTGGAAACAATATCCCGCTCATTGTTGTACCTGTTGCTGTTGGTGGACTAGTAGCTGTAGTGGCTGGAGTTATAATATTTGTATGGAAAAAGAATGAAACTAAAAAATCAAAGAAGGAAAAGGATGATATGGTGAGTTTTGTTAAGTAAATATTTTGATATCTAATGCAACGATTATTAATTTATAATATGTAATTTTTTTATTATCGGAACATTATAAACTTGTGATACAATTCCAATAAAATACAAAGAATGCATTTCTGCTGCCAGCCGATGCAAAGCAAATCTAATAATATATTTCGATACGTAAAATACATATTTACCTATTAGGTATTCATATCTTAAAATATTGTAGGCTAGCACCGACTTTGAAAATATCTGATTAGGTATCTATTCTAAATGAAAACCTCCGTTTAGTTCTTTTTTACATTTTAGTGCCTGGAAGTCGGTTTTTTTTTGTTTAAAAAGTTTTTATTTTTCCATTTTTAGTGTAGACGTAATAAGCAAGTAATTTGTAAGAAGAAAGTTTTTATCCGACTTCCAAAAAAGAGGAGGTTCTCAATTCGTCAGAACCTTTTTTTTATGTATGTTCACCGATTATTCGAAGACGCCTGAACCGATTTGGAAATTATATATAACATACTAGATAATTTATGTTGATCCTTATTTATACTGTAGTAGGTTTGAACCAGTAGTATAAATTATTATTAATTTATATTAATTATAACTATTTAACTTCCCTAAGTTAAAAGGCTGTGACTTTATTGTATTAAATTTTGAAAATATAAAATAAAAAGATATTTCATAATTTTAGGTTCCAAATATTTTTATTTTTAGTACTTTATGAAAAAATAAAACACCATTTTTTCTTTTTAATTACTCACAAAAAAAATCTCTTGGTAATTTTCAAGTTACCTTTAGGGTATGTCACACCCCACCTCGTATAAGACGGGAGGTCAAGTTAACTTGTACACGGAGGGTTAATCTATCAAAATAATTCCTAAAATGAATTCATTTGTTAATTTGATAAGCAAATAACGAGGATATGATAATATTGTATTTAAAATAAACACTTTGAAAACATCAAAAAAAGTAAATGCTATACAGAAAGGCAAGTGCAGATATATCATATACCCTACATAACCTTCTCCGTCTTAACGGTGCCTCAAAGTCCTCGCCTAAATCTCTCGAATCTCTAATCTATACATATAATAAAGTTCTAACTGAGTCGAATCTGTACATTAAATATTTTTAGAAAATCTTATCGAAATAGTCATTACCTACTTACTATCAATACAGAGGCCGAATCTATAGTTTTTAGAATTTTTGTCTATCTGCCTGTCTGTCTGGGAACGCATCACGAGAAAACCACTGGACAGATTTTGATGAAATTTGGTATGATGATAGCTGGTTATCCGGGTCAACATATAGGATACTTTTTACTGCGGAAAAAAATCTCATCTCGGAGAGATTTATAGTAACCTTTAAAACGTATCGGTAGTCCATACTTCGATACTTATATTATAAATGTGAAAGTGTGTTTGTTTGTTTGTGCTTCTATCACGTTAAAATGGAGTGACGGATTGCCGTGATTTTGATGATAGATTTGAAACGTTTTTAGTTCCCTTTGTTATTCAAACATCCCATTTTTTATCACTGTAAAATCTTCATCCCAGTCTTCATATTCTTCCCAGTTCTTTATTTCGTGATAAGAAGACATGGTTAACTAGCAACAAATAAAACATGATAATCGATTATAGCCTATTAGATTTAAACTTTTTTTTTAGCATTTAATATTAATAAACCCCACTTTAGTAATGATAATGGACGTTATTTTCCAGCTTTCTGAAGAAACAACGATAAGCAAAGATGAGCCTCGCAACGAATGGGAATTTCCGAGACATCGAATAAGATTATGTAATATTGTCGGTGAAGGTACTTTCGGTCAAATATGGCGAGCAAAAGCTATGGATATAGACGGTAAGTATCCAAATATAGTGACGAACAAATTTTGTCATTTATGTACCAATAACATCGATCATCCCGATATATCCTATAAGATAACTAGTGACGTTCGCAAGCTTATGTGCCATAGGCACTGTTCCTCCAGGTCAGTCTATCTGTGCGCTCAATTTCATCTAAATCTGTCTAGCCGTTTAAACGTTAAGGAGTAACAAACATACAAACTTACGCATTCTAATTATTAGATTACTATTATACATATAAGACTTTAATAGATTCCGAAACTACGGACACTGGTACATGAAGCTGTAGCATTCGTCAGTGATATGCGAAAAAATTTTTGGCTGACGTGGGACATTACTTTATTGCAAAAAGTTTTAATAAGGGCTTAAGCGAAACGAGGACGGATCGTCTCTCGCTTATAATAACAAAAACGTGTGTGTGTTCTGTTACGCCAAAGAAGCATAGCTTCTTACATGCGTACTTATGTACGAAACATAACAGAATGAAAATAGCTAAAGATTTCATCCCGTATGTCATAACTCTCTGTTTGTAAAAGAAATATCTCCCTTCATTCTGTCATAATGCGTTAGCTAACTGCATATTTCCTCAGTTCTGACTCATCAGAATTTTGTAAAATCTGCGTCGCCTTGGTAATCAGGGACGTAGAATGCTGAAAGCAGCATACTACGCCCTAACTTTTGGCCTGAGCTGCCGTTGTTCCATGAGGGTTAGGCTAAAGCCTTACCTTGGAGCCTTGAACGTGGGCACGATTCCCTTTAGCCAGGCAAGTGTTTCTTCGTTATAGCATCTTAGCTTCACGAATTAGAGACCGTAAAAATTATTGTGACGTGCGTTCACTCAAACTAGGTACTTAGATGCAAAGCAAAATGAATAATGAGTGGCGGCGACCGGTACTGCAGTATTTAACTTAACGAAGACAAAAGATTTACTTGGAGCGCTAAAATGTTACATCGCGCGAGTATACAAATGCCGCTTGAGAAATAAATTTAACATATTATTATATTTTGTAAAAAAAAATAAGTGATAATAAAATTGTGTTTTATACTCAGTTTGTTTTAATGTAGGATTTAATTTAATAGTTATTTTAATTAGTTTTAGGTATTGTAAATATTAAATTTAAGTGTATTTTAGGGTAATATTATGAATTATGTACATACAACGTTACAAGCTTTACCACTCCTTCATGCAGGATGACAGCGGTGCTTCTTCAAGAATTCTGGGGCGAAGGGTAGCTGTGAGGGAATGGCGGAGTGGTTTCCAGCTACAGTGAAGATGGCCTTCTGTAGTTGGTCTTTTATGTTGGTTGCGTCGACTTCCTTGAGATCTGTGCGAGGGTTGGTAGTGATGGCCACGCTCAGGTGTGACAGAGCCGCCTGTGAGTAGCTTACCTTCAACATCGGGACCACCACGGGGGGAAGGCCGTGGAGAACCCGCTACCACTGCCGCTCAAGGAGCCTGCGGGTCCCGTGCTGGGTTTCACCAGCACAGCATTGCCCCGTTTGGGTTTTGCCACGCACTGGTCACCACTGCCACGCTCCAGTCGGTTTCCCGGTACCTCCCGAAGTGTCTGTGGGCGTGCGTTCTCCGGAGGTGACCCGCTTGCCTTCCTGCGTGTCGGGTTCACTGTTAACAGCTTCCCCTGCGTTTTGTCTGTCTATAGTGCTTGACCGGCGTTGTTTTTCCTTACGGTTTCTGTTCCTCTTCTTCCTGGGCTGAGCGACGCTCCAGGAACTAGAGGGGGCTGGTGGTTGTGGCATTGCTGCAAACCATGAAGTCATGGTTATAGAGGCGGTGTGGCCCGCCTCAGTGTTTGTTGTGTAGTTGTTTGGTTGGATTTTTTCTTATAAATTAAAATTTAAAATTTTACTCTCATAATTTTTCCAAACATGCCAAAAGAAGTAGGTATAACTTCAAAAACTACGTACATATAGCGTGCAATATCTAGACACTCGACAACATCTCAACCAATAAGTTTGTGTTATTGTTGATATTTTTTATGTATCATACTATTTTTCAGGCAAAAAAGGTGAGCAGACAGTTGCTGTGAAAACGTTAAAAGAAAATGCGTCAGAAAAGGACAAAATCGATTTAATACAAGAGATAACCGTAATGAAGAATTTGGGAAACCATCCAAACGTAGTCAGGTTCATAGGATGTTGCACTGAAATGGTAAATTCACTGCTTAGTTATTATTTTTTGTAGTAGTAGTGGCAGTAACATACCTCCCTGAAACCTAAAGCAAATTATTATAACAAACGCTATCCCTAATATTTTGCTTTATGGTCTAAGATCCGGCTGCAAGATTGCTTCGTTCATCGAGTATTTAATCAAAAAAACTCCTATTTTCGGCCACTTTTACATAGGCAGAGGTAGATTATCAGGTACTGAAAAAACCTAGCTTTAATTTGATATAATATAAATGTTGAATATACGCCATGAACGTATAAATGTAACAAAATATTACCTGGCTGCGAAGAGGTTGCGGCCAAGTGCCCAACGTCAACTATCACTTTTCAAGTTCTCTACGTATATTTCTGTGAAATGGAGTATAATTTATTTTAATAACAAGTGTCAGTCAGTCAGTTAAGTCAATCAGTCAGAAAGTTAATTATATTATTTATTTATTCGAAAATACTAGCGGGTACATTTTAATAGGCAACCCGGCCAAAATATATTGTCCCTTTTATTATTGTATAAAAAAAATGATTTTTATTGAATACTCGATGAACGTAGCAATCTTACAGCCGAATCTCGTTCAATTACTTACTAATAGACAAATACGCTGTGGTAAGTACAATCACTTAATGTTTTAGGGTAAAAAATCGCCCGTTTTATATCTATTTTTAGTTTGATTACGTAAGTTTTTATTCGTTATTAAGTTTTTCTTTAATTTAAATATGCGCTATAGAAATAGTTCGATCGCGATACGCTATACAATAAATTAAAAATTAAGTTTTATGTTTTCAAAACGTTAGCAGGTATATAAGGAACAAAAATCCGTAAAATGCCCTCGCTGTCCAGCTACCTCCGAGAAATGGAGGGGTGTTAACCATTAAAAAATAGCTATTTTCGATTTCCGGCTGACTGTAAATTCTATCGAATAATATTCTATACAAAAGTTGTAGGTTTAGTAAACATCTACGACTTTAATAGACGAAACTTTTTACAATAACATCAAAGTTTTCAAGATTTTTGCAAAAAACCCGTTTTTTAATTTTTTCTTGTTTTTTTTATTTTTAATTTATGTAATATTTTTTTTTAATTTTCGTGAAACTAGGGGAATATAATCTTCGAAATATATAAAACAACCGATTTTTTTGAAATTGAAATGTTTAGCCTCTTCCGAGAAATTTATGTTTTATGGTCTCGGGAGGCGGTTTGCATCCCTCCATTTGAGCGGGGGTATTTTACGAATTTTTGTACCTTATATACCTGATAACGTTTTAAAGCCATAAAACTTCAGGCTTTAATTTTTTTTTCTCTTAAAAATAAACGGATTTCCATCGGTCTAAAAGCATAAAACTATTTTTCTTAGTAGCGGTTTACCTTCGCTTAGCTAGGGTGCGTCCTACTAGGTAATAGATACGTTTTGAATAAATATAAATAGTAATTGCGAGTGCACCTTAAAAGTAGAACTTATGCTATTGTAGATTTTTCTTTAGGCGTTTTCAAGACCTACAATTCTCTAGTACATTCTTTTGATGTATCTTTTAAGGTTTAGCCAGCGGTAGCCTTGTAAATTTATAAGGACGACTCGATAGAACCCGTTATTGTGTTTTCCCGTGGGAATAAAGATTTTCCTGTATTATAAAGCATCCTTAATATACACTACTGTTTGAGTGAAACACACAAACAGGCTTACAGACAAAAATTTTGTTTTGGGGGTTCTATATTTGCACACTATACGTTACACGGTTACAATCATTGTTTTAAAAAAATATTTCATGTACAGATTTTGCTAACTTACTGTTTTATTATAGGTATGTATATTTCAGCCTATGACCAGGGCCGGATTTACCGCCTATGACCCCCACTCCCCCTCCCCCTTCCAAAATTAACTCTGGATCCGCGCCCGACTCGTGGAATTAGGCAAACATTCTTATAATTCAGTACATTTTGCCTTCTCGTTATTTGAGAGTTTGATCGTAAAGACAACGTTGTCGCTTTGTTGTCGTCTTCACATACACAATTTATTTTAATATAGTTATATTAATTTAAAGATTATTATGTTTTCAACAGCAGCCAACATTCGTAATCATGGAGTTTGTCAGTCTGGGCAAGCTACAACATTTTTTAAGGGACTCTCGGGCTGAGCGTCTCTATGGTAACATGCATGGTGACAGTCAGTACCTCACCTCCAGTGACCTTACACACTTCGCCTTCCAAGTCGCGAGGGGAATGGACTTCCTTACTTCTAACGGGGTAATATATGCTTTCTACTATTATAAATGCCAAAGTTTGTACGTGTACCTACATAGTAATAATAATATGTTGGGAAATTAACACACAGCACCATCTAATTCCATGGTAAGCTACGAGGCTTGTGTTGTGGATACCAGATAGTTGATACACTATACATATGTAACTTTAAATAAATACATATTATAAATATAAATACCCATGACTGGAGTACATACATTCGTGCTCATCATACAAATGAATGTCCCCAGTGGGACTCGAACCCGCGACCGCCGGCACAGCAAGTAGGGTCACTATAAACTGAGCCAAACGTGTCGTCAGTGTGATGTCTATATACGGCTGGACGTATTTGGATGTTTAGTGCATGTACAGATAGACTATGACCTGCAGTAACACAGGCTGCCAGGCCCCTCTTTTCTATTGGGCGCTCTGAGCAAGTGACCAGGGCCCCGCAATCAAAGGGGGCCTGCCCTCAAAAATCATTCTTTGCAGCCGCCATTCCATTCCAAGCATTATTAGTACCCGACAGGCTTTAAATTGAACATCCGTTAACCCACAGTTGGCCAGCGTGGTGGGCTACAGCCTACCCACCCACGCCCAGCAGTAGGATGTTAAATAGAGCTTAATGGAGAAAATGAGGTCTTATATTTATGATAATTTTATTTAACAGATAATACACAGAGATCTGGCTGCTCGTAACGTCCTCATCACTGAAGACAGAACGTGCAAAGTTGCCGATTTCGGTTTTGCAAGGGACGTGGCGGGAAGTCATGTTTATGAAAGCAAAAGCAATGGACCTTTGCCAATACGGTAATTTAAATCTACTTTTTGTTTGTTCTTTACGGGATTTTAAAAAAATATTAATATAATGTATAGGTATTCGAATTTATTACCGTTTTACTATCTTTATGACTGAATTTATATTACTTATCTAATGAAATAATACTATATTTCAGCATGTTGCCTTCTAACCTCGATAAAAGTTTAATCCCTCCACGACCGCGGACACGCCGGCATGTTAGTTAACAATAGATATTTTAGAAATTTAATTAATTTCTTAGAAATTTACCTGAAGGTGTTAAAGGAAATGGTCAATCTATACTAATATTATAAATGCGAAAGTTCGTGAGGATGTATGGATGTCTGGATGTATGTTACTCTTTCACGCAAAAACTACTGAATGGATTTTAATCACACTTTACAATAATATAGCTCTGATATAAAATGAGCTCTAAATTTTTGTTCAAGAAAAATATACGGTTCCCGTGGTATAGGTTTGTTTTTGTCTTTCCACTAGTAATTATTATTCTTCTTCTCCCTGCCCATTTCTCAATCACTTGGCGGATGCCGGGTGGGCGCGACCAGACGCTGAGTTTGCGTCTCTCTTATTCTATGTAAATTTTAATCTAGAACGGATGGACGAGGTGTAACTATAACTAGTTAGATATATTTATTAAAATAAACATTTTAAATGCTACAATAAATAAAAACAATTTTTTGCAGATGGATGGCACCAGAGTCGTTGTACTACGATATATTTAGTGTTAAGTCGGATATTTGGAGTTTTGGAATACTTCTATGGGAGATCGTGACATTAGGTTCTACTCCGTACGCTGGCCTTTCAGCTGAGGTTCTTATGAAAAAGGTAAATTTAACATGATTTTGTATGTAGACTAGCGATTCACCCTCGCCTCGTTCGGGCTCGTCCCTAGCTTGCTTCTCAATACAAACTTTCATCCCTATTTTCACCCCATATTAAGGGATGATTTCCGGGATAAAAAGTATCCTATGTCCTTTCCAGGGCCTCAAACTATCTTCTTACCAAGTTTCATCTAAATCGGTTCAGTAGATCCAGAGATTACCCCCTTTTTTTTTTAACGTTGGGAAATGCATTTACGCACGACGTGTGGGACTCACCGGCGTAATACAGCCAGTACTACCCACTAAAACCCAACAAAACCTTCCCCCGTCTTAATGGGGCGTCGCAGGATCGCTTACGCATTCAACTACGACGCCCCGACGGCAGGTCTGCCGAAGCAGACCACAACAACCACGGGATTGCTCCACAGTCCACTCTGCTATCAAAGAAGTACCACAAGCAACCCGCATGGTACACCGCCCCCCAAAGAGGGCCACCTCCCACCGCCCACCGAAGTGGGCAACCTCCCTGTGCGTTTCTTAGCTTCGCGCCCGGTTGGATTGCGGGGCACTACTGAGCCCCCCCACCACGACAAGGTGAACGCACGTTGGGGGGGGAGAGATTACCCCCTACAACGTCACAAACTCACAAACTTTACCCTCTTCATATGATGAGTATAGATATAAAAGTTGTTCATTGGTTAAATAATTGTATTTTACGAGTAGCTTGTGTGTGAAATGCTCCCCCTTCTTTATTCTGTCTGTTGTTTTAATTTTTTTTTAAATCATATTTTATACTTCTTATTTTATAATTATTTTGTTTAATATATTTTTATATAATTAACTAGCATTGCCCGCGGCCCCGCCCGCGTTCAGATCACCAAAACCAAATTCTTAAGTTTTACATATTAGTATACTCTTAAATTGCAGTTTTTGTATTTTTTCTCAGAAATGAGAAATTTTCCCACGGTAAAAAGTTTCCTATATGTTGACCCGGATAACCAGCTACCATCATACTAAATTTCATCAAAATCCCTCCACTGTTTTTACCGTGATGCGTTAACAGACGGACCGACAGACAGACAGTCAAACAGACAGACAAAAATTCTACAAACTATAGATTCAGCCTCTGTATCGATAATAATATCTATTTCAATAAGATTTTCAAAAAATATCTAATGTACAGATTCGGCTTAGTTAGAATTTTATTATATGTATAGATTAATATAACTTACTAGTGACTCACCTTCGCTTCGCTCGGGTTCGTCCCTAGATACATACCATTATTATTACGTTTTAACGGTAAGTGATTCCCATACAAAATAAACAATTCTGAAGTTTTAGATTTTCTAGCGTTTTTTTTGTTTTCCCTATTTTTTACATCTACCTACTAACCTATAACCTACTAACCTATTTTTTACCTGACACGCCCCCAATAAAACAAAAAAATAATTATTGAAATTGGTCCAGCCGTTTTTGAGTTTTAGCGAGACTAACGAACGGCAATCGATTTTAATATATATATATATATATATATATATATATATATATATGATTTTAATATATAATAAACAATAATATAAACAAAATAAATAAAATAAGAAGTATAAAATATGATTTAAAAAAAATAATAAAACAACAGACAGAATAAAGAAGGGGGAGCATTTCACACACAAGCTACTCGTAAAATACAATTATTTAACCAATGACCAACTTTTATATCTATACTCATAATATGAAGAGGGTAAAGTTTGTGAGATATATTATATACATATGATTATAAAATTAAAGTTATCACACAAATAAATAATAATCTTATCTATACTAATATTATACATGAAAATGTAACTGTCTGTCTGTCTATTACTTTTTCACGCTTAATCCGCTGAACGGATTTAGATGATATTTGGTATGGAGATACTTTGAGACCCTGGGAAGGATATAGGATAGTTTTTATCCCGGAAATCATTCCTAAGGGGATGAAAAGTTTGTATGGGGAATCAAGTAAGGGTAGTAAGTATATAATTAATTTTTAAAATAGGTACTCACTTTTCTATACCTATGTATGGACATATATATAGTTTATTCTATACTAACGGTGAAAACATACCTAGGGACGAACTCGAGCGAAGCGAGCGTGAGTCGCTAGTAATAATATATTCGAAGAAAAAACAATGCCAATTTATCAAAACATTATCAACTATAATTTAAAAATATTTTTCCTATAACAGGTGCGAGAGGGATATCGTTTAGAAAAACCAGAACATTGTCGTCGTGAGCTTTACTACGTCATGTATTGTTGCTGGAAGGCCCGACCTACTTCACGGCCTGACTTTAAGAAAGTGGCATCCATGTTAGAGCGTTTGTTGTCTACTGAAAAGGACTATATCGAACTTGAACGATTTCCCGACCACTCTTGTCATAATGTATATCATATAGACGGGGAGAAGTTATAATTTATATTTGTTTCTCAATTTATTTGAAAAATTCTACCATTAATCAATAAATAAAAAGATACTTGTGTGTGCATAGGTAGGTACCAATATTGTGTTTCAGATGTCAGTGCCTGCTTGGTGCTTACATAATTAAAAAGCATTTTTTTTAACTAAAATACAAGAAAATGAATTTTGTTTTTATTATCTACCAAACATTTACTGGACAATGGTTTAAAATCGCCAGAATTTTATCATCGAAATCTATGCAGCAGGCTATCCCAACCTTGCTTCTGAACCTCCCCGGATTAAAAAAAATATTTTCATATCCCCATTTTTTATTAAAATAGAACACACATTATTTAAATTAAACATTTCTATTTTCATGACAACCCGCCGTATATTAGGTAATTGTAAAACAATTGTTAATAGCTGTAGCTAAAAACTAAGCAAAATTTTCATGTTCAAATATGGCCATTGGATATCGGCCTGACAAAATATTAAATACAACAATAAACTATTTCAAAATCCATTGAAACAGCGTGTTTAGGATAACATAAATCATTAATACATAATAAATAAATATGTTGGGACATTAATACATAGCACCATCTAGTTCCATGGTAAGCTACGAGGCTTGTGTTGTGGATACCAGATAGTTGATACACTACACATATATAACTTTAAATACATACATATTATAAATATAAACACCCATGACTGGAGTACAAATATTCGTGCTCATCACACAAACGAAAGCCCCCAGCGGGACTCGAAGTCGCGACCGCTGGCACAGCTAGTAGGGTCACTAGAAACTGAGCCAAACGTGTCGTCATAAATTATTAATTTTTAATTTTAAAAATATTTGTTAAAAATTCTAATTAATATGATTAAATAATCACTGTTTTCTTGTCATTTTCTTACACTGTGATGTAATATGGATTTTTGGATGTACATAAGTGTATGTGTATAAGTGTATGTACAAAATTTGGATGTACATAAATATATCATAACAATATTCTCAACACCGCCAAGACCCCATATCAACATATCAATGTACATCAGCTTTAAGAACCTTACATACGCCATATTGTTTTTTGTGTTCAAGAAAATTTGTATTTTTTGATTTTATGTAACAAACCGATTGAACTTGAATTTTCAAATCATTGCTTTGCAATGAATCTAAATAATTATGTTTTGAAAGTTTTTTATATAAAATACTAAATGGAGGTTACTATTTGTACACAAACTTTTTTTCGGGTTTCGCCGCAGTCGAGTAAAAATAGGCAAAATTAAAAAGAAAGACATTCGTAAATATTTTTATTCATTAAATAATTAGTTAACATTTGATTGGACTAGAATTGTTATAAAAAACCTTTGGCAAAAAAATAATTGTTATGATATATTGATAGTAGGAGGGGTCTATGTGGTGGACCCCTCACTCTTTTTGCATGCGAAATATATTTTTTAACCGACGAAAAAAGGAGTTTCTCAATTCGACACGTATATTTAGTTTTTTTTTATGTTTGACCACTCGTAACTTTTTATTGTGTAGTCCGATTTCGATAAATTCTTTTATTGGATAGGGTTTATCTTAAAGTTGGTTCCATTTGAATTAGAAAAAAAATCCAACTTTAAGTGTAAAAGTAGGGGATGGCTGATGTTTCACCTACAGATTTTTTTTATATTTATTATATTATATTTATGTCTACACTAAAAATGGAAAAAAAATTAAAATTTTTTTTTAACAAAAACCGACTTCAAGAAAAAGCAATAAAAAGTAAAAAAAGAAAGTCATTGGTAGTCTCCATTTACTGTAGACACCTAATCAAATATTTTCGAAGCCGGTGCCAGCCGATCCAAATCAAAGCACACCGATTTCGAAAATATCTGATTAGGTACCTATCTATAGTAAATAAAAACTACCAATCAGTTATTTTTAACTTTTTAATGTTTTTTTAAGCCGGTATCTTTTTTTTAAATGTTTTATTAAACAATAAAACATATTAACAAACATGACCCAGGGGATAAAAATAAAAAACAATTTAATTTTTTTTTATTTAAAATAGCCTGTAGCACATTTTCGGTGAGTCTCTGGGTCATGTTTGTTAATATGTTTTATGGTTTAAAAATTATATTTAGCCTGGAAAATGAGTTAGGGGTCCACCACATTGATCGGGATCTTAGACTATAAGTACAAAAATAGAAATGCATAGCCTTTTTATCTGAAAATATAATTCATTTATTTAAAAATTGTTTCTATTATAATCTATCTACAGAGATGTCTCATCAAGAACAGGGAAAAATTATTTTAATTATATGTCAATAGATAGCGCTGTATGTATTGATTTCTAATAGATATTTGTATAAAATCACTGGAATTTAAAAAAAAACTAGGTAGAGGAAAATGATTTAACGCAGTCTTAAATTCGATTCTCCTAACTTTAGATCAGGGTTCGGAAATCCGTTTAATTTTTAAACCGGTATTGACCGGTTTCGGTTATGATCTTTAAACCGGTTAAAACCTAGAAAACAGCTTTTGACGAATTTAAGTTCCATGATCGAAAATTAATCGCTTTTAATTTGGCGAATCTTTGCTAATTGTAATTTGCTTAGTAGAAGGATACATGATTCTGAAATAAATCTGTTCATTTCGGTATCAAACCCTAATCTATTCTTAGAGAAAGATTAACTTTCTCTAAGAATATTTGTTAACCATTATTATTTCGATTTACTAAACGATTTGTTTTTATTAACCGGTTAAAGAACGAGCGATTAATTAACCCTTTTTTTAAACAGACTCCGAAAACCTTCATAAGGTAAAGGAGTTTGTAGGTACTCCATATTTTCATAGATGGCACTGTATACATTTTATGAATTCTTTACCAGATTATTAACTGTTAAAATCACTTATGTCCGTTTTATTGTAAATAATGTGATGTAAAATGAATTTCGCGATATTTGCCCAAATGAGTATGGCGTCTATCAATCCCCAATGATTTCAAACATCCTGAATGTTAAACTAATTTATTTAAAGAATAAATCATATTTTTTTAATTTTTAATTTTATTTATTGCCATATCCAAATAATAATAAATAAAATAATAAAAATAAATAAATAAATAAATAAATAATCCGATTAAAAACGACGAGACGAAAAAGATTAAACTTTTGTGGCTTCACTGCTAAAAACCCGCCATTTTTATGTTATGTTTAGATAAAACTTGCGGACTAGAAAAGTCTCGTATATACATAGATAGAAAGCATTTAAATAAATAATAAATATTAGGGCAAATTTAAAAAAAAGTATAAAAATACATAAATAATGTATTCGGTCTCTTTCTGCCCCACAAAAAAAAACTAGAAATATTAAAAACATTCAAACACATTAAGCACCCTGTATAACCCAATATTGACAATAATTGCTCTATCTTTATATATGTATATATATTTTTTACAATTTCGACCGCTCTTTAATAAGTTCCAACCAGAATTTGACTCTTTCAAAGTTAGGAAACGGTTCAACTTTGATATCTTCTTCAATGTTTAAGCATAACTTAGTCTCAGTATTGTAGGGTTGCCAGTCTATATGTTTTGGAGATGGATTTCTGAAAAAAATATAGGTACAATTAATTATATTATTGAACTAGTAATGCACTTCAATTTCACTCGTGTTGGTTCGGCTTTGACGTTAAAAAAATCTTTATTTCTAATAGGGTTTTCACCAATAGACGGAGTGATTTATGAGGAAGATTTAGGTATATAATACATTAAGTTTTTGTGTAAATTGACTGAAATTTGGTAATGATTATTGAAGATGTCGGAAAAATCATGCCGACTGGGAGTTTTAGTATGCACACCAGTAAAGCTACCTTAAACTGTAGCAACGCTATATGTAGCATATACATTGTACGTAACAAGGAATACACCCGAGCTAATTGAGGGTAGATGTTAAAAAAATGCAATATAAATGAAATGAATTAGTTTGAGTAGATTATTATAATGTTGAAACTTTTAACATACAAGGTAAAATCATTTGCAAACTTACCCGTTCTTAGCAAAATTGCACCAAGCGTCAACCAACGTTTCTACCACTATCCGATCTTTGTCACTTGCCATCTTCGCTTTATTTTCTCTATAAAATAAGTACTGTACGAGATCGCCATGAGTTGCTCTTTTAAAACCTAAACTTTTCATCACCCTCGTATTCATATTACCATTATAGCCAAATCTACATAAATATATATTATTTTGGAATTTCGAAAGCAATTCAATGGTGAAAATTACGTCTCGGACAAAGTAATGGTCACTGACGAGATTTACGTACTGACTTCGTAGAGAATCGTCGACTTTTCGACCATCGAAGTAGAATTTTCGTATAGAATCCACAAACTTCAAAGCTTTTGGCGTATCGTATTCTATATACAAGTATCTGGGGATGAAATATTGTAGATTTTCTTCGTACATAATGTTGCCTTGTTGATCTTTACGCAGGAATAATGCTCCTTCATCTGAATTAAGAGTTAGGATAAGTGGCACTTTCTTATGGCGATTTTCTCTCAGAGTCGTTATTGGGGATTTATCTAAAAATCTTTCAACATTATCAAACTGCTTTTCTATTACTGCCAATAAACCAGCATTAATAACAGAAGGTGGTCGGGTAAATTCTGCCGAAGTGAACGCATGAACTAAGTCCTTGACTGACGCGTTTGAAAATAGCTCGAACAATTCTTTCTTATCTCGCGTATCTTTATTTAAAAACTGTGCAATATTCCTAGCACGCTCTGTTACGTCCTCTTCCACGATATATAACTCCGCCAATGACGTTCCAGATTGACAAATAACTTTGTCAAACAAGCCGTCTGTCATTTTGCTTGTCAAAAACGACATGGCGACTGCCGCACCCGCACTTTCCCCTTGCACAGTAATATTATTATCATCGCCATTAAAATATACTATATTTTTCTTCACCCACTTTAACGCCATTACTATATCTTTCAAACCCGCATTCCCTGGGACTTCTGGTGTGTCCAGACACAAAAATCCTAATATATTTAATCTATAATTTATCGTCACCAAAATAGTATCATGCCGTATATAGAAATCTGGACTATAATAGTCCCCATAGCCTACAGTCAAACGGCCGCCATGAATAAAGAATATGACTGGTAATTTTTTTAATTCTTCAGATGGCAACACTGGGGTATAAACGTTTAAATATAGACAATCTTCGGACCCTTCAAACACTCCTTTACTAAATGGGTTGATTTGAGCACATTTATTGCCTGGTTTCGTTGCATCTCTTATTCCAGACCATTTTTCAAGTCCCTGAGGTGCCTGAAATTTAATTACTTAATTAGAGAGTTATACCTACGAGTAAGTAAACTAAAAATATTTTACAAGAGAATAATTTCCCGGAAAGATTTAGCGATGTGGACTTTCTACAATCGTTATCGCTAGTCACACTACTACAACAAATGCGAAACTTTTTATGTGTGTGTATATATGTTACACCTACACACTGAAATGGCTGGACAGATTAGGATGAAATTTAGTAAATAGATAGAATATGATCTGAAGGAACACATAGGCTACTGTCAGTAATAAAATTTGCCAAAAGGTGGCGCTGCACACAATATTATATATACAAAAGGCAGTGACGCTAGTGACGCTCCATACCAAAGTGAGGGTAAGTCGCTAGTTAATGTTTGCAACATTCTATTAGATGAGATATAAGATTAAACGACTTTATTAATTTGACTTGACCGTTATTCGAAGCTTACGTATTGAGATAGGCATTACCGTTTCCGCCGTTTATATATCTATCCTTGTCTATCCGTCTACTGTCTCGCTCTCTATCGCACCACCTGGCAGGAGAGTGGGGATCGGTGCGAACGATTCCCACTCCTAAAATTATTTCCTCATTGGCGTCTTGTTTTCCGCCGAGTGCAGTCGTGCTGGCTTGGGCTCGCACCGACTATACAAGTAACTCGTAGCATTATAGGAAGACGTTTCTATGTAAGTTTTTGAGGTAATCGCCAACAAAAATTTTAAAAGGTAACGATTCACACCATGTAAGTACATTTACCTTATTTATTATCATCATTTTTCTAGACATTTGTTTAGCACAAAATAAAACGAGTAACAAATACTTAATAGTATTTGAGAATTAGAAATTTAATGCATGTTATGTTAAATAACTGTTAAAATGTTTAAATTTGTTTTTACATTAACTGCAATTTTTAAATTAATACCATCATGATCTCCCTGCCTATTTCATGCCATGATAATTTAAATTAATATAAATTAACACCATGGTAAAGTATATTGGCACTACGTAATTCAATTTAGCTTATAAATCTTGTTTTACTATTGACTACATAGATTATACAATGATATATTTTAATCAGTTACCTTGCAGTGCTTTGCTTGCTGTTTACTTTTAGAATATAGGGGTTGCATTGTTAGGTGAAGCCAACATTTGGCCTATTTAAGGAACATAAACGGTGAAGCGCAGGACACATATTAATATATAGGTAACTTTTACATAAAATATGCAGTGTTGCAAAAGAGAGGGAGCAACACGAAAAGGGCATGTGGAGACATCCGATGATGCCAGTAACTCGCATTTTAGAGCATGTTCCGACAGAAATATAACGAAACAATAGCTGTACAGTTCGCGTGAGTATGCAATAATTATACATTGTTCAAATGGCGTAAGCAATTTGAGGGTATAAATAAAAAAGTACATTTTTAAAGTTAGTCTTGAAATTAAATACATATTTAAATGTCATTTTTATATAACTATGTAAGTTATCTACCGACATATTCTTGTGGTTCATGGATAATTGACATTGACATAGTGTAATGGAATATCTATTGGAATTGAGAAATCATTTCAGCACTGTAAACAAATAAAGTTATTACAGTTGTAGTATATATGTAAGTACGTGATATGAAGCGTGAAAATGCTTTCGGAAAAAGGAAGAGCCTACTGGTGTAGTTCACAATTTCATATATTTTATTTTCATATTCATTTTCAGCAGACAATACGATAGTTTATAAGCTTTATTTCAGTTCAGAGCAAAAATGCAGTTAAGATGTCAACACGAGTATCAACATGAGACAACATAAGGACATTAATTATTTTTCATGACACTGCCATGGTACATGTGTATATTGTTATTAGACTAAATACAAATCTTAATTGCCTTGAAGAGGTCCTATGAGCTGTATTTTATAAATAAAACGTCTCCCCGCAGGAGTACGTAAAATGGTTAACCCTCGCAGGGTTATTAGTTATGTGGGTACCTAAGGAGTATCAAAGGTGACCGTTATACATTTACGCATACTACCTACATGCAAATACATACAGGTGGTTATGTGAGACTCATCGGCAAAGCCTGTATTACCCACTAAAATCAAACCGAACCTACCCGGTCTTAAAGGGGCGTCGCAGGATTGCCGGACGTTAATGATCCCTCCACCACGACAAGGTAAGCACATAAGCACATTGGAGGAGGATCTATGGAGACCCTAACGCTGAGATTTTCATCTAGCTGTGATATTAATATCATAATCACAAATGTTGAATGTAAGCCCCGTTCAGTGAGTTTAATATGAATATAAATCCTCGCGGGATTGACGATATACTTGTTCCATAAAACAATCTCTACAGATTTTTGTCCAAATGTGAGTCACATATTAATTTTCTTCAAGAGAAAATGGCAGTGAGCTTAATATGAATATAAATCCTCGCGGGATTGACAATATACTTGTTTCACAAAACAATCTCTACAGATTGTTGATTCTTATCCAAATGTGAGTCACATATTAAATTTCATCAGGAGAAAATAGCAGTGAGCTAATGTGCAGTTTTGATCTCAATTGGAGTTTGATATGTATAGCATAAAATTCAAGCTATGCGTTGAATGGTCACTTACATGATATAATTTGGTTAAATTCACTGGATTAGGACAATCGTTATATTACTGAGCATATAATTGTATGGGAAGGCATCGTCTCAATAAGATTGGTATGTATGTAATATATAAACTCCAAACCTGTGAATGAGTTGGCTTTTGAGCATTATAAGAAATATTATACATATTATTATTTTTTTGAACATATGGATATCGTATATCCATTTATCAAATTTCTAACCCGCACTGGGCAAGGGTAATGGCCAATGGCCTGATCCCCCTCTTATGAAGGGAGGCCTGTGCCCAGCAGCGAGTCATTAAGACTTGCTGAACACGTTAAAAAGTATAATATTCTATTCCAGTGGTCGAACAGCCGAATCCAATTGGTTTTGGCCAAGGCAAATTATTAGAAGAAACAACAGTGTACCTTTAGGAAATGCATACGTTACGGGCCTTTCTGAATTACGTTGAATAAATGTAACGTAATGTATTTCATATTAAACTGATATTCCCACTCGGGGCATCAGGGGCAATTGCTATTTTAGGTGTTCCTGCTGTGCTTGTAACGACAGGTCGTCTTTGTTGCAAATTAAGCCTTAAAGAGCCTAAGAAATCATTCAAACATTACATGTTGGTAAGCTACGGCGTTGAGAATTTTCAATAATAATAAGGGTATTGAAAGTTCTAAGAACGATAAGACTCAACGTTAAGCATGGAATATAACTTAAAATATAACATTGGCAAATACTACTACTAATATATTAAGAAAATGACATTTTCTCAAGGAAGGCTTGAAATGTAGCACATTATAGTGAAAATTTATCCTTAATTTTGGATCACATTTATAAACTACAACGGAAATGACGTATTATGATCATCGCTAAAATTGTAAGTTTTTGACATATTATTATGAAACCCCAGTCTGACAGCTAGGGTAGTTCTGAAAAATATGAATTATAGACACAAATTGAGGAGGTACGTAATACATTATAAAAATTATCCTTAATTTTGCGTGACATTGGCAAGTAATCTTTGCTTAAGTGACACGTTTTTGTAGCCACTAACAAGATAATTTAATGTCCATAGCTTGGTTATAGATTTTACCAAATGACCGATTTATACTATATAAAAGTTATGGTGTACATTTGATGAGTCTTGGTTTTATAAGTGACATTGTTTTAAAATTTATATAATAGTACTCGTGCCTAAGAAGTGTTCTCAATTTATTGTCATATGTGGAAATATCCTGTGATGTGCATCTGTGTACATCATACGTAGCTTCTTCTACGTAAATCATAAATTTATCGTCGAGGTTAAACGTACACATATGCGTATACGTATGTCATTGTTAAAAAATCATAAATTTTACACCAATGTGTATGCGAACATTTTTAACAGTATATTTCCGTTATGGTATTTTTGGCACACTTATGGAAAGGATTTACGTTAGGCGTTGTAATTATTCTAAATTAAAAATTTATCTTTTCGGATTGTCAAATATTCGTGTAAATCTAAGAAATTATTATTCTAAAATTAAATAATATTATTAGAATTTTTAATTTGAAAGCGAGTCACTTTGACGAAACAATGACTCTTTTAGCTGAGCTTTCTTTAAAGGAAACTAGATCTGACTTGTTAATTTTTACAGCCTAGTATTATTACTAGCCTATTATTATTGTTATTTACCTACAACATATGTTAGTATCGTGCGAAGTCGACCTTTCCCTACCATAGTTATCATCTCATCTCTTGAGGTATCTCTCTATCTATAAATATAGGCACTTCCAAAGCCATTATCAAGTCTTAAGCGTTGTTACATTTGATTTATTTATTTTTTATATACGTAAAGAGTTGGTTTCCCAAACCAATGGGCTTCAGAGTTATTAAAGAAATGGTATAAAATGGGGCGCACTATTTATTAATAATGAAGAGGAATTGAAAGTCAACTAATGTGTGTGTTTTCAAAAGAATTTATTAATTTATTATTAACTAAAATTGGAATTTTAAAACGCATTAATTGTTAATGTTAGTTATTGAAATTATTGTTCGAGTATCGGGTCGCGCATAGTAATGTTAGATATTAGTTTTTCTGAAGGTCTAACGGTCTAGGGTCTCGGCTTCGGGCCTGATCACTAGACTGGGAGAGTGTAAGTAAGAATAAACTTGGTCATGTTAAGTGAACACACTTTCAAACCATAACATCTCGAGGGCAGATGGTTTCTGAAACATTGGCGACCGAGGCCGTAATCGGCCAGGGAGATGTCTCCCATGTTGTATTAATACCTTGTTGAGTTGTGTTATCTACAATATAATTTATTTTTTATTTGTAAAAGGACTTTGGAAAAGCACTGCATTAAGTGTTTATTTTGGTCTTAGTAAAAATCTCATCTCAGTGTTTCAGTTACATACAGCAGAGTTTATTTCATCACATTGGCGTCCGTCTCCTACGCTTGCACCACCAGGCGATAACAAACAAGTCTCAATACGTAAGCTTCGAATAACGGTCAAGTCAAATTAATAGCAGCGTTTTACCTACCAATAAAACGCATATTAATTTACTTACCTTATTCGAAGCTTAACTTTGAATAACTGCCTGGTGTATCTCGACTCAATGAAGAAATAATTTTAGGAGTGGGAATCGTTCGCACCGATCCCCACTCTCCTGCCAGGTGGTGCGATAGAGAGCGAGACAGTAGACGGATAGACAAGGATAGATATATAAACGGCGGAAACGGTAATGCCTATCTCAATACGTAAGCTTCGAATAAGGTAAGTAAATTAATATGCGTTTTATTGGTAGGTAAAACGCTGCTATTTAAGAGTTACATTCCATGTGTACTACAACTTATATAACATAGTTTCTCGTTAAAAAGTTTTCTGATTTTGTCGTGGTTTATTTTGAGTTTTTTTCCGAGAGTCTGTCTATTTCGTGATCCTGTGTCTGAAGAAATGACTAGAAAGGTTTCAAATTTTCGATTACTAGAATGTTCTTTGTTTATTCATATAAAATGCATGGTGTCGAGAGATCAGTTGAATTTCGAAGCTAATAGAAGTTTGACAAGAAGTAGAAAAAAGTGTAAAAGTGAAGAAACGTGGAGTGAAGTTATAGCGAAAGTGTATTTAGTGGTGAAAATTAGAGTCCAGTGCCTGAGTTTAACCAGAACTGTGTATATACTGCGCGTGTTAGTGAATAAAATCTATAAGTCACTCTTGTTAACTAAGAGCAATAAAACATCAATAGTGCAAAGGACATGCTTCAATTCCCGATCCTCGAACTCATAGAACGTAACAATATTATATGTACATGTTCATATCCCCTAGAAGTACAAATATACCTAATATGAACAACGATGTTTGCATATGAATTTCAGAACCTCACATTTTATTCGATGTCCTCTTCACGTGAAATGCTCCTACAGTCAAATCGTTTACTGTTTAAATTAGGTAATCTTAAGATTTTAGTAAAATTACTAACGGCTCGGACAATTATCCATTCGACATATTTTACACGTGTACGGTCTATTTGCTACCACTATCTACAATTTCGTCCGCTCTGTTAGCCACCACTATCAATAATTTTATACGCTTCATTAGCTACCACTATCTATAATTTAGTACGCTCTGTTAGCTACCACTATCGATAATATCGAAAAATTTCGTCAAAATGAACTAACTACGCACAAGAATTCCGTCTGATAGGAACCATTTTAAAAAAATGGTTCAGAGATCTTTTAATTCTTTTTTTAGGGATTGCTCTTGAAGAGGAATACATTAAGAAAGGCATTTTTACACTTACATATGTACGGTTTTAGATGAGTATACATATTATGGAATATTACTGGAGTAACACATAAGCTACTGTATGGCCACTTTTTTTTGTTTCCGCTTGGGAAACCAATCATGGAAACCCTGCCGGCCAAATGAGAGAAGAGCAAAACGTCGGTAAGTCACTGGTATATCGAATAAACTTCAAAATACAATTACTCACCCTAAATCTAAGTTCTCCGACAGGTGGCTTGGCGTAAGGTATACCCTCGAAACTGTAATATTTGAACCCATCGTGCGTTTTACATTCTCTACCTTGCAATCTCCCATGTTCCACATTAACTTCACAATGCATCTGGAATAATTTCAACAAGAATTTACAACTAATAACTTAACCAGCTTCTTCCGACAGCTTTACATACATAAAAAATATGTTTTCTGTCGGTTTTTTAGGGTAGCACCATATTATATTGCATGAAACAAGGACCATTACTTTTTTTAGACATTGTCTAGACCTAGATTGATCGGATTTAAAAATAGGGAATATACGCGTTTTTTATACAATAGCTAACATCATTATTTAAGTGTAAAAAAAATATCCAACACCAAAAAACTAAAATTTAGTATAGTTTTTTTTAAATATCATACCTATACGGATACTTTAAAAGCCCGCCATTTCGTGTGGTTGGCGTGACGTCAAAGTATCATAAATAGAGAAATGACGACTTAGGTAAGTTTGTCTAACTTTGACGTCATATTCGGTCTGACCAATGTCTTTAACTATTTAGAATTTCCCACCTTATTTGCACTTTTTAATAATTATTTTCTTGATATACTTAGGCATAATTGATATAAGCTTAATTCAAAAAAATACAGATATTAAAAAAAATCACCTTTATTTAAATCACACGCATATACTCTATTCTAATGTGCCAACTTGAAGCGACTTAAAGTAAATAATTACCTATTAGATAGATAATAAATTAATATGTTGTTTAAAGTTCCTCGATGGCGATAACCTTGCTGTATACAATCATGAGTTAGGTACCTACTTATGTTTAATAGTTTGTATGTAATTTCTGAATTATACAAAAAGTATGGTTTATGGTAGATTAAAAAATTAAATAAACCCGAAACAAAGCCCAAAAACGCATAATATAAAGATTATTTCTTCATATTTACCTACCTTGGAATAAGATGATAAAATTTATTTTATTGACCATTTAAAAATTTATTATTGAATTTTGTTTTGAAATTATATTTTAGTACGTGATGAGGATGAGGAAAAATAAAGATTTAAATAAAATGTGTACCCCTATTGGGTACAATGAACAATTTTCCGCTTTTTAAAAAAAACCTTTGCTTTCAGAAAATTATAAATATTATTATTAAAGTTGAACTAGATTTCTATAGCCAACATAACGACTCATTGAACAAGTTATAAATATTGATAATTTATAATTTATTTATATAGGTAAGCTACGTTTGAAAAAAAGTGATCCAGTGTACCCCGGTTTCCCCTAAGCATTAATTTTAAAATTAATATTAAAAGTGACTTACCTTAAATTGTTTTTATATTTATTATAACGAATAACTTAAGTCAGATATGTATTTTATTTTGAAAAAATGATATTTATTGCAATTAATAACTTTAGTCATAAATTTATTTTATTTAAAAAGAATCATCAAGAATATTAAGTTAAATTGAAATTTCTTGAGCACAAAAAGTGAGCACTCGCTAAAGCCACTTGAATAAGTATGAAAAAAAAAGTTATTTAAATTATGTACTTTTAAAACTGGTGTTATCCAAATGATATATTTTTTTCTACTTATTTTTATTATATGCTAAATAGTAAATACCTACTTGTAAACTTTATATTTCATGTATATATTTTTATGTTCAATTTCATGTATTATTATTAAATGTAATCGCCCACTTGAAGTTTGGGGCGATTTTCAGCCTATCGAGACCATAAAACATACTTTTCTCGGAAATGGCTAAATATTTCAATTTTTTTATTTATTATATGTATTTCGAAGATTACATTTCCTTACTTTCATGGAAATCAAAAGATTATTCTAGAAATTAAAAATAAAAAACCAAGAAACAGTTAAAAACCGAATTTTTTGAAAATATTTCGAACTCGAAAACTTTGAGGTTATTGTAGAAAGTGTTATTTATAAAAGTTGTAGATTTTTTCGATAGAACATCACAGTAAGCCCGAAATTAAAAAAAAATATTTTCAACGCTTTGCGTCCCCCCATTTCTCGGGGGTAGCTGGGTCATGTGTGGCATTTTACGAATTTCTAATCCTTATATATCTGAAAACATTTTAAAATTATAAAACTTCAAGTTTTAAATTTTTTTTTCTCTTAAAAATAAACGGTCTAAATAGAAAGAACAAAGTGTTACTTAATAATTTATTTGTTTCATTTATCCAATATATAAAAGAATTATAACTGTTTTTTTTTAAGGTGGCCTTCTGTGGTCCACCCACATTATTATAAATACAAACACCCATGACTGGAGTACAAACATTCGTGCTCATCACACAAATGAATGCTTCCAGCGGGACTCGAACACGCGGCAGCTGGCACAGCAAGTAGGGTCACTACAAACTCAGCCTAACGTGCCGTCAATAAAAAATATTTTAAATAAAACTATCTTTTCGGATTTTGTCGCGGATTTATTTGCATTTTTGTTTCCCGACGTTTCGAATGCTTTACAGCATCCATGGTCACGGGAGAGACTGAGGTGTTACATGTCTTGAATGTATACTTGTTACAGACAGCCTACCCACAATTAACAAAATGAAAATTGCACCAATTACATTACAATATTTTTTATCTTTAAACATTTTTATAATTTTAATTATAATTGAATATTGTAACGCGGGGTTTTTTACAAACGGTGATCGCGGGGTATCGTGTCGGAACATGTACGATCCTGTAGGGCCGTGTTTCGTGCGATTGTATAGTTTAGGCGCCCGCGCCCCCCCGTCTCCCGCGAACGCGTGAGCGACGGCGTGGCTCGACCAGACAGAGCCGCGAGCGCCGAACGCGTAAACATCTGTATCATAACGATCCTCCACGACTCTCATTTTCGCGCAGTTGTAAGATTTTATGTAATTTTTTGTGTAACTTCTATAACCATAAGTTTTCTTGTCAAACCTCAAGTGAAATAAATATATTTTAATAGACTGTTGTGTACCTATTTAACTGGCGCCCATACTAGTGGCTCGAACTTTTAAAACTTATATACTAGTGCGTGAAGATGCCTATGACGAGGAGAGGGGAAACGCTTCGGCAGCAGCGAGGGGATGATGCTGCAGAGGGAGAGGAGAGCACCATCGAGCACGGCCACGTGGACGGAGCTGCGCGAGCCGGCTCGACACAGCAACCAGCACCCCAGCTCCCCCAACACTTCCTATCCGCGCTGATGGAAACGATCACGCGTGCGCAAGTGGAAGCAAATAGAAGCCTTATCAATTCTCTGATGACGTCCAGCAGTGAATTTAGGGCCTCCACCCCAGTCGTGGCCTCTCAAACAAATAATATGAACAGCGGGAGTGGTACTGCTGCCAGCGTCGCGAGTGTCGACGCAAATTTTACTAAGTGCACAGCGCGGTTCAACGGGTCGTCCCAGGACGCCGAGGTATTAGAAGCGTTCCTGGATGCCGTCGAGATATTTAAGGAGTGTGCGGCCGTGAGTGACGAGCTCGCACTCCGCGGATTGCCGATGTTGCTGGAGGGTGAAGCGGCAGTATGGTGGCGCGGCGTTAAGGCGGCGGTGACTACATGGGCGGACGCGGTCGCCCGCCTACGCGCGGCGTATGGCGTGGCGCAGCCCGCGCATCAGATTCTACGGCAGATCTTCGCGACGGAGCAGCAAGAAGAAGAACGCGCCGAGTCGTTTTTGTGTAAAGTGCGAGCGTTAATTGCAAAGTTACCGTATAAGCTCGATGAAATAGTGCAAGTTGATATTTGTTACGGGTTATTACACCGACGTATTGTTAAAAGAGTTTCCCGCGATAATGTTCGTAATTTAGATGACTTAATGTGTAAAACGAGGATCGCGGAGGATATGTATAAAACTCTTAAGGTAAATAAGGATAACAATAATAGTAGTAATTGTAAAAGCGCGATTTCACGAACATCGGTCACTACTACCGGTCGCGATGTCACTCGATCGAGTTTTGATAGTACGAACGCGATCACTCCGCGTAGTAATAAAAACAATAGGCCCCGATGTAGTTATTGTAAATTATTTGGGCATATTAGTGAAGAATGTCGCAATCGTGAGAAGGTTATGATTAATAATAATAATGATAAACATTTGTATAGCGATAGCACGCGTAAAAATATACGTTGTTACGGTTGTGGTAAGGAAGGTGTCGTGAGGTCGAAATGTGATATTTGTGTGAAAACTTTAGTGAAGTCGGATGGTAAAACTTCGTTCAATAATTTGGATGTAAATTTTAATAATCACGATAATTGCGTTAATAATAATAATAGTAGTATAAGTAATACAAGTGCGTCATGTATTAAGTTAACTAACGTGAGTACGCGTGAATCGTATCCTATGGTTAATATATCCATTATGGGTCGTACCGGAGTGGCGATAGTGGATACGGGCGCTACGCATAGTATTGCGAGTCCTTTATTATATAAAATTTTAGTAGACTTGGGAGTACACTTTAGTAAAGTTAAACGATTTGTACACCTGGCTGACGGTACACAAGGGTGGAGAGACTTGTTGACGGCCGAGGTAGGTATAGATATCGAAGGCCATAGTGTAATGTGTCAATTACTAGTGTTGCCAGGTTGTGACACTAGAACACTTCTAGGTATAGATTTCTTGTCTCGGGCCAGAATGGTAATTAACGTTGCCCATCGCACTTGGACATTTATGGATAGTCCCGGACAGTGCTTTAATTTTATTTATTCGTACACACTTGACCCTCCAGGTACAGATTTATTGCACGCCGCATCTGATGAGCTGATGTTGCGCGCAGACGAAGGATCTAAGTTAACCCAGGAGCAACAGAATAGAGAATCTGTTAAGTTTTTAGGACACGTTAGTGTACCAGGCGAAATCCAGGTGGATCCAGACAAGACGGCGGCTATTGATAATATGCCCGCCCCTCAGAACGCTAAACACTTAAAATGTTTCTTACAAATGGTGAGTTGGTATCGCCGCTTTATTAATAATTATGCTGAGATCGCGAGACCTCTTACGACACTCCTGAAAAAATCAAGTGCCTGGCGATGGGACGCCGAGCATCAGGAGGCGTTTGAGCGGATAAAGCGTCTCCTCGTATCCGCTCCCATTCTGCGTCAGGCGGATGAGTCAAAGCCATTCGTTCTCTGCACCGACAGTAGCGCTTACTGCCTCGGGGCTGTTTTAATGCAGGGGGAGGAACACGATGAGAGACCGATCGAGTACGCAAGTCGTCTTCTCACTAGTGCAGAGAAGAATTATTCCACGACGGAGCGAGAGGCACTCGCCGTCGTGTGGGCGTTAGGTAAGTTCCGCGGTTACGTAGATACTGCAAAGGTAACGGTTAGGACGGACCACCAGCCTTTGCGATGGCTAATGAGTCTGAGGTCACCTAGTGATCGGCTGGCTAGGTGGGCCCTAACATTGCAAGAGTTCGACCTCAATATCCAATACACACCGGGACGCTCGAACGTGGTTGCGGATACGCTTTCGCGACCAATTTGTGCTGAGAACCAAGGTGAGTGCGAATTATGTATGACAGTCGTAGACTTACCAAAGAGGAGTAGTGGTGATATCCGTAGCAATCAACTGTTAGATCCAGAGATTCGCAAAATCATTGAGGACATGGAGTCTGACGAACCTTCTAGGGGGAGGCCATGGTCCGATCGTGGGTACACTATTTCCGATGGTATACTTCATAGATATAGCTTAGAGTCAGACGATGGAGAAGAATGCTGTATTGTTGTGCCCGAACACGAACGCAGGCAAGTGATGGCTGAACTCCACGACGCGCCTATGGCAGGACAATTCGGCGTGGAGCGCACTTTAGGCCGTGTGTTTTAAGATGTGTTAATAAAACTATTTCTTACTTGTTTAATATGTATTAATAAACTATAGTTACATGTTCTTAGTATTATTAACTCTAAATCTAATTTCACAGCTTCCTCCAGTCGTCTCTTTTTATAACTAACTTCCATAGATATTTTACAGATAATATTATGTCCACTCCCACAGATAATCAATAATAACATAACTGTTCTCTCAACATCTTTCCCTTTTTAATTTACATTAAGAAAAATATATAATATATAATCATAATCATAAAATTGCAATTGAAGTCAATACTCATATATATTATATATGAGTATTGATTGAGATAACAAAATTTAATTAACAGGATTTGAATATGTGTAATTATAGCATTCTTAAACAATTTAACACTCATAATCATCTAAATATCTAGGTCGTCTAACAAGTCTTTCAGATCTTCTTTGAACTTGCTCTCCATTATTATTTATAGATTCATCCTCCGCCGAGCTTGCTATATCTGTATTGATCAATATCTCATTTTGATCTGAAACACCCGATGACTGACCTTCAGTATTATTATAACCCCCACTACAAACATCATCAAAATGTAAAAAACTTGAATCCCCATACGATGGATTACAATCAATTGCTTTATTCAGATGCCATCTATTTCGTCTATATTTCCCTTTACTGGTACTTACAATAAAAGACCTAGGTTCATCAAATTTTTTTATAATAGTTCCATAACACTTTAAATCGGAAACCCACACTTTATCATTTAACTTTAATTCTGATAATTTTGAGACCCTATGCCTTTTATTGTAATAAAAAGCACTTTTGTACTTGCTTTCCTTCTGTTTGTTTTTAAATTGTTTATGTATTATTACAGGTTGATTTAACTTATTTGGGACTATAGGCAAAACATCTCTGAGCTTACGATTAAACATAAGTTCTGCCGGGCTATAACCCAATTCCAAAGGTGTATTTCTATATACTAGCAATGCCAAATATATATCTGTATTCTTTGATAATAGTGTTTTTGCAATCTTAACTCCTGACTCTGCTAAACCATTACTTTGGGGATAATATGGACTACTTGTAATTAACTTAAACCCATATTCTTTAGAAAATACATTAAACTTGGATCTAAATTGTGTTCCACAATCCGTTCTCACAATCTCTGGAATGCCATATCTTGAAAATGCTTCCTTACATTTAATTATTACTGTTTCTTCTGTCATATCAGTCAGTTTGGCAATTTCTAGAAATCTCGAATAATAATCAATCATTACTATATACCAATTATCGTTAAATTTAAATAAATCCATTCCTATTTTCTGCCAAGGTCTATCTGGTAATGAGTCTATTATCATTTCTTCTTTAGGATTTTTTAAATGTTCTAAGCATTTTGTACATGATTTTACTTTGTTTTCTATTTCTTTAGACAACCCTAACCACCACACTGACTGTTTTGCTCGCTCTCTACATTTGGAAATTCCTAAATGACCCTCATGAATTTTGTTCAGTATATCTTGTTGCATTTGTTTAGGTATAACAATCCTTGAATTAAAAAGAAGTAGCTCTGATTCAATGGAAAAATTTTCTCTATATTGATAATAATCCTTAAAAATTCCTAATTTATTTTTGCTTGGCCACCCTTGAATTATAAATTGTTTTAATTTACAGCATATTTCACAATTATTTTGTTCTACCCTAACCTTGTTTAATGTATCATATGACAATGTTTCACTAACAAAAAAAATTTAACTCTAATTCTGAATCTATAAACTCTTTAGTGTTTTCACTAGGTAGAGGTTGTCGTGATAAAGCATCTGCTACTGCCAAGTCTTTACCAGGAGTATATTTTATTTCATAGTTAAATTTACTTAACTTTAGTCTTAGTCTCAATAACCGTGGACTCAAGTCATTTAATTGTTTTGTTTGTAATATTTGTAAGAGTGGTTTATGGTCTGTTTCTAAAATAACCTGAATCCCTATAATATAATCTTTAAATTTTTCTGTAGCCCATGCCAAAGCTAGGCATTCCTTTTCTATTTGTGCATAGTGTTTTTCTGCTTCTGTAAGAGTTCTACTAGAATACATTACTACAGACCTTTGGCCCTGCCTATTCTCTTGCATAAGTGCAGCACCTAACCCGAAGGAACTACTGTCAGCTGATACAATGATCTTTAAACTCGGATCATAATGTGATAAAGTTGGTGCTGATTTAAGTTTTTCTTTTACTTGATTAAAAACTTGATCTTGAGTTTTTTCCCATATGAACATATTACTGTCTTTTAATAACATATGCAATGGTTCTAATAAATGAGATTTATTTGGTATAAATCTACCTACAAAATTAACCATACCGAGAAATCTAAGAAGCTCTTTTTTATTTTCTGGTACTTTAAATGCATTTATTGCTTTGAATCTTTCGGGATCAATTTTAATGCCCTTTTCATTTATTAAATGACCTAAATATGTCACCTCTTTTACTCTAAATGCACACTTTTTTCTGTTAATTGTTAATCCTTCATTTTGTAACCTATTTAGTACTTCCCTTAGTATTCTATCATGTTTTTCTTTAGTTTCTTCAAATACTAAAATATCATCCATATGTATAGCTACTTTTAAATCTTTGAATAAGTTAGAAAATTTCATACTAAAATACTCTGGTGCACAATTTAGACCAAAAGGTAAACGATTATAAACATACCTACCAAAAGGTGTTATAATAGTAGTAATTTTCTTTGACTCTTCGTCTAGCTTGATTTGATGGAACCCTGAGGTAGCATCTATTTTAGAAAAATATTTAGCCCCCTTCAGCTTTGCTAATGTATTTTCCACCTTTGGTATTGGGTAAACCGGTCTTAAAATACTTTTATTAACTTCAGTATAATCTCCACAAATCCTAACTTTATCATTTTTAAATACTACTACAATTGGTGAGACAAAATCAGTAGGTTCTTCTATCGGACTAATTATTCCAAGTCTTTGTAATCTATCTAGTTCTGCTTTAACTTTTGGTAATAATGGAATTGATACATTTCTAGGTGTAGCATGTACATAAGGTTTTGGATTTGCAACTAATTTGATATGGAATTCGTCTTTAAATACTCCTAACTCATTAAATATATTGGGATATTCTTTTTCAATTACTTCACTTATATTATCATCAGAGTTGAAACAATGAGAGATAGCACTTATAGTAAGTATATTCATATTTTCAATAGAAGGTCTCCCTAAAATAGCTCTACTTAAATTTTTTATAATATAAACTTTACCTTCATATACATTTTCTTTATACCTAAGCTTTAAATTAGTAGTTCCCAAAACCACTAATTTTGTCCCATCTGGTCCTTTGATCACATCATCACTTTTCACTATAGAGAGTCCACATCCTTTTATAATATTGTCTGGTATAGCACTTATGTCTGCTCCTGTATCAATAAGAAATTTTACTTTACTTATAAACTGGTCCTCTTGAAAAACATCTACGTCTATTAAATACTTTTGTTTTGACTCACAGAAACTAACCTCATATGTAGTTCCTATTTCTTCCTTCTCAATATTTTTTACTATCTTGGCTCTGCACAACCTAGCAAAATGCCCCGTTTTTCGACACTTGAAGCATGTTATATTTGATGCTGGACATTTGCACCTAGGATGTCTTTTTTGTCCACAAAACCAACAATTTCCTTTTAATTGTAGTTCTTCGTTGTTTCTTTGTGCTGTTGTTGTTCCTACTTTCACCCTATTTATTTCACTTTCTTCCTTATTTTCTCTTATAATCATACTCTCTTTTTTTTGTATTTCCGCTTGCTTTCCCATTTGAATAGCCTCCTCAAGCTTTAAGTCATTTTTTAAGAGCATCCTGTCACTTATATTTCTATCCCTTATGCCAATCACTACTCTATCTCGTATAAGTTCTTCTTTTAACAAGTTATACTCGCATCCCTCTGCTAACTTATGCAAATCCGTGACAAATTGATCAAAATCTTCCCCTTCCTTTTGTACCCTTGAGTTAAATTTGAATCTTTCGTAAATTACATTCTTCTTGGGAAAGAAAAATTTGTCAAAACTCTGAAGTAACTCTGTATAAGTTAAATTTTTATCAAATTGAATAATTATGTCTTCTGCCTTATCTCCCATCGAGTATAACAGAAAATCTATTTTACTTTTATCACTTAATTCTTCATTTCCCGATACGCTCATATACCTTTTGAATCTAGTTATATACTTCGGCCACTCTGCTGGCACGAAACTAAATGTTCCCGGAGGCGCCATTTTGAGTTGTTGGTTCCTTTCAGAATCGGGCTGTCGGACTGAGGAAGTTTGTGCTTCGTCTGCCACCATGTTTTAAGATGTGTTAATAAAACTATTTCTTACTTGTTTAATATGTATTAATAAACTATAGTTACATGTTCTTAGTATTATTAACTCTAAATCTAATTTCACAGCTTCCTCCAGTCGTCTCTTTTTATAACTAACTTCCATAGATATTTTACAGATAATATTATGTCCACTCCCACAGATAATCAATAATAACATAACTGTTCTCTCAACACCGTGTTCGCACTAGATATTATTGGACAGGTATGCGCACGTTCAGTACTAACTATATAAAGGGGGCTGCTGACCAGAGACGGCGATCGCCGCCAGAGTATAAGGTAGGCGATATGGTGCTACTTAAAACGCAGGGGCCGAACGATGCAGGACGTGGACAGACAGCGAAGTTTATCCCACGCCGGGACGGCCCATACAAGATAGGCAAGGTAGTTAGTTCTACTACGTACGGGTTAGAGAACGTACAGACCGGAAGAGATATAGGGAAATATCACGTTTCGCACCTCACGCCATTTACCGGCCAGATAGAGCCTTCCGTTAGGGAAAAACGTAAACGTGGTAGGCCGCGTAGATACCTAGACTAGCCCAACTGTGAGGACACTTAGTTAGGCTAGAGGGGGAGAGTGTAACGCGGGGTTTTTACAAACGGTGATCGCGGGGTATCGTGTCGGAACATGTACGATCCTGTAGGGCCGTGTTTCGTGCGATTGTATAGTTTAGGCGCCCGCGCCCCCCCGTCTCCCGCGAACGCGTGAGCGACGGCGTGGCTCGACCAGACAGAGCCGCGAGCGCCGAACGCGTAAACATCTGTATCATAACGATCCTCCACGACTCTCATTTTCGCGCAGTTGTAAGATTTTATGTAATTTTTTGTGTAACTTCTATAACCATAAGTTTTCTTGTCAAACCTCAAGTGAAATAAATATATTTTAATAGACTGTTGTGTACCTATTAAAATATGGAATAATATTTATTTAATTTTTGCTATTATTTTTATAATTATTACAATTTTAAAATATTAATTAGTAATCTATATTTAGTGTTGCCATTATTATATTTATAACCATAAAGAAAAATATAAAATATAGTGTTAATTATTTAAGCCATATAATTGTTCTATGTGTAATTTAAAAAATTAAAGTTAATTAAGGATAATTATTTTAATTTAGTTTGCTATTATTTAAAAACAACTTACTAAGCAACACTATTACTATATACTTTTACAAATGAGAAATGAAAAATATTAATCTGATATGCTGTCATTTTGATCTACACAGTAAGAACTTACTACATCTACCTGTCTGTTATGTTACCCTGTCTGTCTGTTAGTACCCAGCCATCTTCCCTGTTGTTCAACAGGGAAGACAATTCGATAGAACCAGTTATTGTATTTTCCCGTGGGAATGAATAATTTGCCTGTCGTAAAAAGTATTCTAAATGTTGACCCGAGCACTAAGTTTTATCACTATACAAAATGAAGTTAAAATCGGTTGAGTACTTTTTGCGTGAAACGCGCACATCGATTTGACTAAGTTAACTATAATAAATAGGTATCGATAAAAATAAATATTGCGAGTGTAACTTAGGAGATAGACATATACTATTCAGAACTTTTCTGTAGGATTTTTCAAGACCCTTAATTTTTTAGTATATTGTTTTGATGTATGTCTTAAGGCTTAGCCAGAGGAAGGTTTCTAGGGAGGACTCGATAAAACCAGTTATTATATTTTCCCGTGGGAAAGAAAGATTTTCTTTGAGTAAAAGGTATCTAGGCAGTGGTATCCCAGTGGTAACGCGCTCGCTTGGGAAACCGAGTGAAGCAAGTTCAAATCCCGGGTCTCGTACCTCTGATATTGACCAGCGTGGTGGACTATGGCCTGATCCACCTCGTACTGAAGGGAGGCCCGTGCGTGTGTTAAAAAGGGCTGAATACAACATACATACATACAAAAGGTACCCTAAATGTTGACTCGAGTAATAGGTTATCACTTCACCAAATTTCGTTGAAATTGGTACATTACTATTCGCGTGAACCGCGCACACAAAAAAAGACAAACAGACATACAGGCAAACAGACAATTTTTTTAATAACTATTGTTTTGGGGTCTATGTTGTGTACATAATACGTTACAAATAAACAAAAACATCTATCCCACGGGAAAAGTATATTTTTCCGGGATAAAAAGTTACCTATTTGTTATTCTGATGTATGAACTATATTATTGTAAAGTTTCATCAAAATCCAATCAGTGGTTTTTGTGTACTAACTGTATAAGTTACTATAGTTTTTTGGACTATCCCACGGAAACTCTTTAATTTTCCGGGATGAAAAGTAGCTGATTTGTTTTTGTCATGTATGAACTATATTATTGTAAAGTTTCATTAAAATCCAATCAGTAGTTTTTGTGTACTAAGATGTATAAGTTGTTATAGTTTTTTAACTATCCCACGGGAACCCTTTAATTTTCCAGGATGAAAAGTATCTAAGATGTTGCCCGGGGATATAAGGTACCACCATGCAAAATTTCATTAAAATAGGTCTAATAGATCCGGAGATTAGCCCGTACAAAGAGAAAAACAGATAAACAGCTCGCTCGGGTTCGTCCATACATACGAATATGTTGTATTATCTCTTTAACCATTTGTCCAAATTATATGCAGTAAAAGGGAAAAGTCTTTTATTTTAAACATTTTAGACGATAAGTTTACTTATTTTGATAAGAATTCATAATTGTTGATAATATGACCAATAAACATGACCTACCGATTTAAATGATTTTTTTAATATAAAAAACTACTTTTTGTGACTTAAATATAAAAGTTAGATATATGCTGTCGCTGACTTTTTTGTAGGCATTATTAAGCTCTACTACTTTACTCTAGAACATAATCATATATCTCTCATCGTTAAGGCAGCGTTCGTAAGAAACGTTTTCGTTCGACCGTTTTTACTCCGACTTACTTTGCAAATCCGACTACCACGAAAAAGCCTTTTCATTTTTCGGGTTAATATATAGCCTATGACACTCAGAAAGAACGTGGCTTTCTATTGGTAAAAGAATTTTGAAAATCGATTCAGTAGATCCAGAGATTACCCCCTACAACGTCACAAACTCACAAGATCACAAACTTTACCTCTTTATAATATTAGTATAGATAAATAATCAAGTAGTTACTCATGTCAAACACAAATTTTTTTTGGTGTCGCTGCAGTCGGGTAAAAAGAGGCAAAATTAAAAAGAAAAACAAAAAATAATCTGTTAATATTTTTATTCATTAAATAATTAGTAAACATTTCATTTGATTGGACTAGAATTGTTGTATGTGGTGGCCCCTGACTATTTTTCCATGGGAAATATATTTTTTAACAGACGAAAAATGGAGTTTCTCCATTCGACTCCATTTTATTTATTTTTTTTACGTTTGACTACGATATCAACTTATATATTAAGATATACTTTTTTTATTGGAAAGGGTTATATGATATATTTTTTATTGGATAGATAGGGTTTTCTTCAAACTTTGTTCTATTTAAATTAGAAAAAAAACCCACCTTAAGTGTAAAATATAGAGAATGATTGATTATTCACAACCCGATTTTTTTAAAACACTTTCTTCTTACTTTTCTACCACTATGCCTACGCTAAAAATAGAAAAATAAGAACTTTTTAAAAAAGAAAACCGACTGTATAAAAAACACTAAAAAGTAAAAAATAACTGATACCAGCCGATGCAAATTAAAGGACACCGACTTCGAAAATATCCGATTAGGTATTTTATATTTATAGTACATGAAAATTACCAATCACTTATTTTTTTTAATTTTTAGTGTTTTTGAAGTCGTTTTTTTTAGTTTTTACTAGAATATAAAACATTAACAAACGTGACCCAGGGAATAAAAATAAAAACAATTATTTTTTTGAATTAAACATAGCAAATTTTTGGTGATGAATAATATGTTTTATGGTTTAAAAAATATATTTCGCCTGGAACAAGAATTAGGGGTCTACCACATTGATCGGGATCTTAGACTATAGGTACAAAAATAGAAATGCATAGCTTTTGATACAAAATCTGAAAATATAATTCATTTATTTATAAATTATGTTTCTATATATGTTCATATATGTTTGTATTATGTCAATAGATATTTGTATAAAGTCAATAAACGAACAAAAACTACTTCTCAAAAAGAATAAACACTGATATGTAAAAAAAAACACTAGATAAAGGAAAGCGATTTAACGTATCTTAAATTCAATTCTCCTAACTTTACTTCAATCATTAGGTCAGGGTTTGGAAACACGTTCAATTTTAAACCGGTTTTGTTCATTGATCCCAAAACAAAAGGCTTTTCGGTTTAAGGTTTCGGTTGTGTCCTTTAACCGGTTAAAGCCCGAAAAACATTTTTTGACGAATTTAGGTTCCATGATCGAAAATTAATCGATTAAAATAAGTTTTTGTGCGTTTATATTTGGAAAATCTTTGCTAATGGTGATTTGCTTAGTAGAAGGATACATGTTTCTGAAAAAAAGCTGTTTATTTCGGTGTCAAAACCTAAGCTCTTATTAGAGGAAGATTAACTTTCTCTAAGAATACCTGTTACCCATTATTATTTCGGTTTACTAAACGGTTCATTTTTATTAACCGGTTAAAGAACTAGCGATGAATTAACCATTACATTACCGAAATTAACCGTTAATAACCGTTTTTTTAAACCGACTCCGAGAACCTTCATTAAGTAAAGGAGTTTGTACTCCATATTTTCATAGATGTAGCTGTATACATTTTATGAATTCTTTACCAGATTATTAACAGTTTAAGTTACTAATGTTCGTTTTATTGTAAGTAATGTGATGTAAAATGAATTTTGCCATATTTTAAATATCTAAGTACCGACGTACTAAAACACAAGACAGTATAATATTCTTGATTGCACAAATAAGTTATAAGAAAACAAAATATATAGCAAGTGACAAAGGTGGACTTATCTCTATATAAGAAATCTC